CATGAATAATGCTTGTAAATACCAACTTTTACGCGGCAAAGCGAGAATTTATTCAAACGTACACTTGGTCTGTTCATCCGCCACCCACTTCGAAAATTAAGCTTCAGGTAAGTTTGCAGCTTGATCAAAGTTACTTCAAACTTGTTCTAGCGTATTTCTGACTGCAAAGAAACCTTCTGAAGTAACCCCGTACTTTACGAGTTTAAACCATCACCTCAAGGCGATGTTATAAAAATTTTAATTACCGGCTTCCATTTTGAAAATCACGAGTACAAACTTAGTGACGTCGAATTGGAAGATTATAAAGCAAAATACAACCAACAAGCAATGTAATAAAAGTAAAGGCGATCTTCAAAGCGGACATGTAAATTTCTATCTGCATAGTAATTAAAGATGATTGCTAGATTCGCAAAAGGCCAGGTTCACTTGTTACGCAGTAGTAATAAAGGATTTAGTCATGTTATAACTTATGAAGTAAAATATTCGTAGCGTTCGCGCATTGACTGAGCATTATACGATTAACTATGTCCGTTTAATATCGATTTTTGAGCCTCTGAATTTTGAAAGAAAGCATCGTTATTCGCGTGTGAACTGTGTTATGTTCTATTGATAGCGGGGTGGTTTCATCTTGTTCTTCCGGAAAATACATTTTCACATTTCGTTACCATATTAGGCTCCAAACAAGCATCCACTTACTACTTTTGAGAAAATAGAAATATTTTCGATTCGTCATGGCTTGCATAATTTATTACACCAATGGATGAGATTAATTAATTCAATAAAACCAAAAGTTTGAACGAATTGGATTCATTCAACTGATTGATTGGTTATGATATTCTAAACCTGACATACTTTTTTTTAGCCACATATATCTTTGGCTACTTGTCCACGGTCTGTCATATGCTAAAAAAAATATGAATTTTGATATAAACTCGTGTTTGCGCTATTATATTATCTTCATTCGTTTCTTATTTTTCAAATAATAGTCGGAAGGAATTTCAAAAGTACTTGACCGCTATAAACCCATCGGCAGGAAACATTCAGCGTAAACCGCGATTTTAACTTTTAATATCGGTGGAAACATTCCATGAAAATCATTATGAGTATTATTATAGTCTTACGCATTCCATGAAGCATCTGTGAACAAATAAATAACGCTATATTAAATTGGGAAATTTGGATTTTCAATTTTGATGTGGAAGCGTGTTTATTATTTTAACGCGGTGACCAGATGCGACTGTTTGAGATCAGACCTATCGTCGCAAGTAAAAATACAGCGATATCGTAAGCCAGAATAAATGAACAAATTTGCTTGCAAAAATAAAGAATCATGCAGTCGCAATTTTTATCCATCTTATGTTTGGTCAGCCATGTCAAAATGTCTTTCATTTTTGATGGCTAAACATAAAAATGTGAAGGTTTAAACGGGAAACAGCTGCGGTGCGGAAACGGTTTTAGTAACATTTGTGTTATCTAACTACATTTATAACTTGTATCGTTAACAAGGTGATACGCTTGCTTTTATCCTTTTAATTTAAAATTTATTTAGTTTAGTATGTTACCGTACATCTTTGTTTATTTAAGTAGGATGTAAAATTTTTAAATTTAATAAAATATAAATTTCGCGCCTTTAGTTCCGGTTCATTATGCGCATCACATCGATTATATTGTTTCGAGCGCGTCTGCGCTCTCTTCCCGTATGAAGTATCGGAGATTTCATGTCATAGTTAGCCTACTGATATTGCCTTGAAGTGTTTGTTTAGTTGCCTTTTAGTACACCCGCAGTGCCCCTTATAAAGGTATTTTTGAAAAATATATTACACCATTGTTCTGCGTTTTGTATCGTAATATATAGAAAAGCGGAAAAACTTTTTTTAAATATTTCTCCAAAGGAAGGCATAAATTAGACCAAAAGAGATGAAATTAAATCGCCACGGATCGTATTTCCCGAAAATGAACCCGCATGTAATATGGTAACTTAGCCCGTGAGTTTTTTCCCAACTGAACACTGGCCAAATTTAAACAACAGGAAATTTAAAAAATCGATTTTGATTCATGAATGACCGACAATGGCAGACAGGCGAAAGGGAGTTGGAAATTTCACTGGGGCAATTTTGTATGCATATGGGAAGATGTATCGTCGAGTCTGTACACATAATAGTAGAATAGTTGCCGAGGCCAGGGCGCGGTGAAGCATAGTCTGCTATTAGCGTGACATTTTTGGCGGATTGAGTCGAAATTGAAAAATGATGACGGGTTTCGGTGCGCAACAAAGAAATCATAACCATTAAGTACAAAGAATCATTGCCTGGGTGATGCCTTGCGGTACGTGATTTATCTTTATGGGGTATGAAGTTTTGTATTAAAATTTATGAATAGATAAACTACGCAAGTTAGAAGGCTTGTGAGCGAAAGGACGTGACATGTTGATACCAGCGAATGATTAGGTAAATTGAGGAACTAGATATATTGAATGTAATGTTTAATAATATTATTCTTTTAATAAAACAGATAGAAATAGTTCAGCTATGTATTATAAGTATATATTGTTTTAAACTTATATTAGATTAAAGAAATGGAATAATTTTTTTTATTTGTTAGCGTTAAATTAAAGTATGGAAATACGTTTGAATGATAAACCCCTATTTGGAATAACATATTTTACCAAAAAAAAGTTGAGTCCACGCGTCACAATACGATACTTGTTGAATTTTTTAATTTATTTATTTTCGAGATGCTATTCCTTGAGTTCATGATAATCCGTTTCTCAATGGGTCTGATTTCATATTTAGTTACAGTGTCGGACAAGTGTACCCATGTTAGACTGAATTTGTGTAAGCGATGACACGCCCCGATGAAAATACGTCGATGACTCAAGCGCTACCCAGTCTATGATCCAATACGATGGCAATGTCAACAGAGTCTGGCATCTATTGAGTTTTCATAATGTGCTGAAAATATTCTTTCATGGCTGACAGTTTATTTTATTTCAACGTTAACCGTTTCCATCAAGGGATTATAGGCATGTGATAGCCCTGCCTGTTCGCGATATAGGGGATTAGGCTTATCTCGCCGAACAGTTAATAGTAAACGAATACGGAAGCTTTGCCATCTATAGATATTCAATATTTTGTGGTCAGAAAAGAGGGCGGACGACATAAAGCAGGAGACCTGAAAGTCTTATTATTAAATCTCAAAGCAAAAAATGTTGATTTGTGCAATAAAATACTGTTGTATTGTCATCCGTGTTCCATGGAATATGATTATCGTGCAATGTTACCAAAAAACTGTGTGGGAAAATCGTCTTAATTAATGGACAATGTAATCCTTAGCGAAAGGATCCGTTCTATATTATTTACTTTATCCCCGATACGTCATGCGCTTTGACGAGGAATCTTTTTGTATTCGAAGGCCGTCATTATCTCTAAATTTTATAAATCGCGGCAAAGGCGATGGTTAGTTACTGAAGCAAAACAGTCTTTCATCTTCGCGCGTATTACGCCTGCGCTAATAAGTTCCGAAAGGCGAATATGAAAGCCAAATGCAACTTTTCACTTTCGCGGATGCGTTAATTAATACTTGGGGCATGATTGTAGGGCGGGGACGACAGATGTAGAAATAGTGCTGAATAAAACTAAGTAAGCGCGTGAAAGGGATAATCAGAAATTAATCTACCGTTAGCATAGAAGGGTAGTTCGATGTCACTAGATTTGCGTCTTGACATATGGTAAATGCTTCGGTTTTTGTAATTGCAATGGTGATTAGTAGAGAGAGCATCAAAATGAATTAAATAGGGAGATTTATTTATATTGCCGACCAATAATAGTAAATATAATTAGCGATTTACCTCGGTAAATAGTCATATCAGTACTTTGCAGCCGAGGAGGATGCTGTCCATTGTCTTTTCAAAATGAAAGCGGCGAGTTAACTGGTAACATAATTTGTCGTGAGCCTGAATTCAATAAACCAAAGACAGACACAAAATTACGGAGATAAACAACCGTGTGTTGTTTGTATTATAGCGCCATGCGTTGCTGGTGCGTATTAAAATGAAAGTAACGCACCCCTTTAACAAACTTTCGAAGGAACGAGCGAGAGAAAAAAGTTGACGACGGGAAAGACAAATAAAGAAGTCCGCTAGAGCTTTAATCATCATAGGAGGTTGTAGGCAGTCTGTGAAAGGGATTGAGGAAACCCGATTGTTTCTCGCCGCGCTTTGTCGTAGTTATAGTATATATGCTTGTCAGCACAGCTTAACTTAGTATTCAGTAATTATGTACTTTGAACAGAGTGGTCATTTGGTCAGCAATAATTCCCAGAGTAGTGCAGTCATAAATTTAGAATGTCTTACGTTATGAAAGCGGTTTACAACTTGTAAATACTTATTACGGTAAGAAATATTGGGATCGAACGTTCACGACGATTTTAATAGTCGTGTGTACAAACATATTCGTGTCTTTCTAAACATCAGTGGTTAGCCTATGAGATCTTTAATTGTAGGTTATGGATGGACCACAGTTTCGAGCAACGCTCCATCCACATTCCATACTTGACGAACTAAGTATCAGACTGGATATGATTGGACCTCAATGACTTAATATCATGTTGACAAACTATAATTTTGTAGGTTGTATAAGCTATGATGAGCTATCGTAAAAATCAGATTGTGAGAGCAGTGTAGGTTACTCGCATTCTTAAATTAGCATGCAGATATACAATAGATGCGTAAATAAAAGTGTTGGATTACGCTGACCGCCAGGTCATCCAACATGTTATATGATATTTTAGCGCTGTTACAATGCCAATGTTCGGTACTAGATATCAATATTTCGCTGCGGTAAAATTATACTTCGCGGTGAAGGGGAGAAATTGAATACAACATAGGCAAAATTTGTACTCAGTTTTCTCACATGCAAAAATGTCAGTATATTCTCGCCTATGATAGATTGTAGATCTATGATAGAACGTAGTTGTTAGCTTACAATTAAATTTACCATGTATTCTCCTAAAATAGTCTCGGCAAAAGTTATTTGGAAGTTTATTCTGTAAAGCGCGATTTAGAATATTGTACTGTAGAAAAAAGAGCGATATAGCATACTTGGTATAATATATCATATTACATCAATTCTTATGCGGTTCAAGCTGTCCGTTACTTGAATATAAAAGAATCTAAGATAAAAGTCGAATGGGATGCTCACTAAGCATCAAAATAGACGATTGGGTTGGATAAATTTGTGACAAAATTTACATTTGGCGCATAAAGAATTCTCCGAGAATAATTACCCATTCGGAAACCCAGATTCAGTCAGACCCCACATTTTAGTCGGATTGCCACCCACATACTGATTAGTATCTTCGCGTTTTTGGTTGCGTATGAGATATTCGATGACGTATTTTTCATTTATCACGGTTTTCTTTTACAAAGAAAAGCATGTATTTTTTAATTTCCATACTCGGAGATCCAAATAAATTATAATTAATTCCATTTAAAAATTCCAACAACCTTGGTCCTTGAGGATGTCATATTGTTCTTATACATAAATCGGATTATGACCGGCCTTATAAGACCTTATTGATAAATCGATCCATATTGATATTTTAGTACAATATTTTAGATTAGGTAGCTTGCAATATAAGGTCGGCATAAGAGTTGGTTGTAACTTTGTATAGTAGGGATTTTTACAGCACCTTCATGTATGTACATTTTTGGTTGAAATTCATATTTAGTCATTCCATGCTGTATGACAGCTATGGGGTTTACAGGGGCCACAAATGACCCATCCGTAATCTCTCGTGTCAAAAGATCTGTAGATAGAATTCAGACTTTCATCAGTTATTTCACATCGATCAAAATTGCACCTGAATCTATTTGCTTATTATGACATTGATTTTTAAAAAGCACCTATGGGAATCTTAGTAGATAGAAATCTATACATACTTTAATGAACACAGGGGTGGAATAGTTAATGTTTGTTTTTACCGAACAAACCACAACTCGCTAATGTAACCTGAGAGGCAGTCAGGCGGTTCTGACATGGTAGTGCTAATGGAGGAAGGCGGTCCGAACATTACTCCTAGCGAGCGTAATTGGATTTGGTGTCTGGATTTCCGCGATTTTTGTAAGCCGTATTAGGCAGTCACTATAATGGAATTGTTTATTTTGTAATTAACAGGCGATAGCTAACATAACATAAAATAATAAAGTATTATAATGGCCACTACGTTACAAGTGTTTGTGGCCTTTGTCGTCGTTGTTTTAGTAACCTGTTTCTTGGATAATGCCGTTTCCAGTTCAACTGTGTGCCCGCCGAGATGCCGGTGCGATTCATCAAGAAAAACAGTCTATTGTATGAATAAGAAATTATCAAAACTTCCCCTCGGAATACCGTCAGACACAAAGAGACTTTTGCTGCAAAATAATCAGTTATTAAACGATCCAGATTTGGATAATATTTTGAGTTCTCTGTCGTCGCTAGAAAAGTTGGAATTGTCAAACAACAGCTTGACGTCATTCCCCAGAAATCTACCAAGGTCGTTGACATGGATATCAATGAAAGACAACGATATCAAGTACATTGGAAGTCAATCATTAGAAGGTTTAAACATGTTGAAAATTCTGTATTTGGATAATAATTCAATAACAAACCAAGGCTTATCTCCGTCCGCTTTTACTGGAGCAAGTAATTTGCATACGATAAGTTTAAAATGGAACAGGCTAACATCCGTTCCGCAGGGACTTCCGGCTGGAATTCGCTATGCACATTTTGGACATAACCTAATTAACACTGTGCCGAAAAATGCAGTTCAACATCTCGGCCGCGTTATGAGCTTAGATTTGAATAATAATTTGCTTAATTCAACATCATTTGAAAATGACGCTCTGAGTTCTCTCATTGAGTTGCAATATCTTGACTTGAGCCACAACCGTTTAACTTTCTTACCAGCGGGGTTGCCAGGAAATTTGACCCAGTTGTTTGCTTCGCATAACCTTGTGAAGTCAATTAATGCTCCACCACTCGGTCAGGAAAGATCTATGTCGTTAGCTAGTTTAACATTTTTGGAACATCTAGACTTATCATTCAACCGACTACAGAGCGTCGAACCGGGTTCGTTTTCAAGCTTAATTTCTCTGAAAACTGTAATTTTGCACGACAATCCATGGCAGTGTGATTGCCACCTCAAGTATCTTAAAACTTGGCTAACGGAGACCCCAGCTCTCATGACAATGGATAGCAACACAATATGCTTCACACCAAACGCCTTCCAAGGGGTCACATTGCGGAGTTTAGACCATGAGAGTTTGACATGCTCATCAAAGCAAGTGCCGAAATACAATATATCCATCTCTCCGAAAGCTTTCACGCTCTCGTGGTTGATATCAGACACCAGTAATCCCGACTATGTCGAATACAACGCGTTTTGTGGAGAACCGAAATGTGAAAATTGTTCACAGCAGGAAATTATTGACATCGCCGAACGGCAGGAATACACTTACGTATCGTCCATTGTCAAATCTTACGATCTATTCCCAACAGATTACAAGGACATTGACAGAGGAATAGCTAGAGTCGATATCACAAACAGAAAACCCGGGCGCCTCTACATAATATGCCTTCTTGGGTCATACAAAGACATTTCAGAATTGACGATAAGCGATTGTGATTTCGTCAAAACCACGGAAGAGAAATCAACCACCGCACCCCCTATTCAAGAGAACGAGGTTTTCATTCCAATTTGGCTTGCTGTTTTGATAGCAATTCTCGCCATTTTGATTACAGCAGCCATTGTATTGGTGATATATTGTCAGAGATTAAACGCAAAAAAGTACAAATGGAAACATGGTCGCAGAGAAACAGCACAAATGACCTATGATCCGTTCCGGCAAATTTACGCTATGCCTCGTTCCGATTCGCGAAACGATAGGATGTACGACTCAGCGATTGTTGGAGGCGTGAATATATCAAACTTCCGCGAAGGCTACCTGTCATCAACACAAGATGCGGGAAAAGAGTTTGACGTGACTTTGATGGTAAACGCGAGCTCGAACCACAATTTGTTACATATACCTTCACCGGAAACGTGTGAAAGTTATTGTAGCGACTGTCATGACGACACCATATCAACAACTCATACGAGAACAAATACGACAAACGGCTCTTTGCGAAGTCACGACGAACAAGCAGCGCCGTCAAATCACCACCACCACGCAAGGCATCACCAACCACCTCGATATGAAAGACAAACACCGACTTCAAACGGTTACGAATCCGTGAGGACATACGAAGCAGTATGAACATCATGAAGCAATATGAACAGTATGTTATTCGTTCGGCGAAATTGAAGCATCTGTGAAGATAACGCAATTGCGACAAAGTCGCCAAACGTTGCGTAGAAGCCCGACTAAAGAACGAGCAGAGCTCGTGTACAAAGAGGAGTAGAATCTGTAGTGGGAAATGGGACTCCGGGCAGAGACATACATGACTATATCAACTATCTATTAGACAATTTACTTTTTCACCATAACCAATTTACAATAGAGCTGATGGGGCGGTAACATAATATGTTTAATATTCTCGTATTACGTTAACCCAAACTAAACAAATATTTCATATTCATACTAAAATGAATTCATTAATCAATACTTTTTACCAACTTGATTTTTCAACTTCTCCAACTGATGACAATTTGAATATGAACTTGTTACAGTCAATTGATATTTCAAATACATTATTTTGATTCTTTAATTTTTGTAAATAACAAAAAATATTCAAATTTCTTAATTCCATCATGAAATTTCTCACGCCCGAAGTATTTATATACTTATCGAGAAGCGAGGTTCATTGTTATTGTATTCTTATTACTTATACTAACAGAAATTGTTGTACCTATATGTTTCAAAACCCCGTTACCAGCTCGTTTGAATTGTAACTTATACATAATAATGATTTGAAGGTCCCAGTGGGGCATCTCCCATACGGCATTGTTCCATAATTATATATAAAAGTCGCTAGTCGACAGTTGCCTTCTGTTATTTGTTTAAACTTATAATTATGCAAGGTGAAATGTTTCACAAACCATCCTTGTCCAAGTTTGGGACGTATATGTTGTTTCGTTTTAAACGATTTTGTTGTTCATGCAAAGTTGATCAGATTTGATTCGCTGCCCTTCGTCCCGACAGATTGATGGCAGATTTTTCTCGAGTATGAACCATGGATAAATGTATCATAACCAAAAAACTTTCCTGTATTGGCCATACGTGTGTTTCATTTATATGTTCTCGCCCCAACAGGTGGTAAATTACAAAATCAATTTTTCTGTTCTGCCGACGAATTTATCACTCAGTTGGACAGTCAGGGTAATTGATTGAAGTTTCGAACTTCGAGTAGAATGCATCTATGAATCAAGCTTCATCATAAATGATTTATTCTGACTCTTGCTAGTCCAAAATCACTCACAGAAAAATGGTGTGAGATTGAAGTATTTGAAAATATTATTAGTTATTTGATAAATTTATTGATTTAATATTATAGTTTTAACGCTAGAATTCTCGTTTTGCTTATTTTAATTATTATGCTAATTTTTCTCTTCAACTTATGCGACATTTAAATGTTTTTTTTATTATTTCCGATCGTTATTATTTTTATTATTCGTTTTTAATCTTTATTGATCATAAGTTGATATTTTGAAACTGTAAATCAAATTCCGTTTATTCCAAAAAGAAAAAGCATTTTTGTTGGTGTCAGGGGTTTGGGGCAGATAGTTTGTTGTTCATGGCCGAGAAATTCTGACAGGATGCGAAATATTCTGTCCCTAATAAGATTGTCGTTATTGTGATTGATAATGCGAAATTAAATATAGTCACTATAAATTTTATGTCTAGGAAAATGGTATTTTCCGTTAAGCTCATGCTATTTAGTCTTAAACCTGGTAGATTTCTGAGATAAGTTTAGAGGTTAATAAGAATTTATAACTGTTAAAGATCATCACCCAGTGCCGAACCAGAAACCATTTTGTTTGCATAAAATTCAATTCCAAAAACCGAACCGGTCGAAAAAGCAAATTAATCTGATAATTTGAAATTGGTTTCGATCTGTAGTAAAAGTTCAGTTGAGACATGTGTCTGAATGGAAATTATCATATCCTTAATTTCCATGTTCTTGTTATTCACACGGGAAAGCTGAGCAACGATTGCGGTTTAAAAGTAAAATTTCTTTGTCAGGCGAATTTAGCTCGCAATAGATTTTTACCTGTCGTTTTGCCCAAACGCGTACAAAATCAAAAATAGCTTTTCTCAGGCTAATTGAAGAATGCGATATCCTGTTAAGACCGTTCAGAACTGTGATACTTTCGGGCGACAGACAAACTTGAAAGGGTACAGGTGAAAAGTATCATTTTATGTAATGTAATCAATACCCGTCTATCATTTGAGTATAGGATGTACAGGCTAACTTGCAGACAAAGATTGCTTCTCAGATACCCAATAGACGCATTAAGTGAGAACAAAAAGGGGCCTTTTAATGGCGTAGACAAAAAATTCGATCAAGCCAGAGAAAAATAGGGAATGCTAATTGTTAACTTACAATAAAACGTGTTTGATAGCGCGTTTTATTTATGGCCATATCTGACTCGCTATCAAACGTGAAATTCTTTTTTGTTTTGTTTGTTTTTTTGTACAGGAAAAATTTAATTGAAACAATAGTGGATTCAATTTGAAATGCGGTCATATTTCCGACATTTACGCACAAAATTGAGGCAAAAATAAAAGGAAAATACAAAATGTCAATTTTGTATGCGTCGTTTTGTATTTTACAATCTCATTCGTATTGTCGTTGTTTTCATTTTTGAGAAATGTTTTCGGCTATGCATTGTCAACTCAAATCACGTGATTACACAAAGATCAGCGTACGACACGGTGGACTACCTTTGATGTGAGTGGGCGATGAAAAAATAAAATTTTAGCTACACGGAACCCATATGAATAAAAAATGAATCATCTGTAAAAACATGTTAATTAGTACATATTGCCTATTACAATCCCGAAGATATGATGGAATATACTGGAAAAATGATGACATCATTCTTAGGCAACATTCTTACAAAGCCAGTACTTGTCGGTTTATTAAGATAATAATTTACCATGAAGCATACAATAATTATTGCCATTATATATTTGTTTAAAAATCCAAGATTCGCTTATGAATGGATAAGGCAGTTTGGGTGTTCAGTTTTGCTATTTTCATAAGGTAGTTTTGATCGAAAAGAAGGCAACCATATATGGCATTTATTCGGTGTGTTACGTCACGTGGAAATCTATCAAAGGGGACAACTTTGGTTGAGGTTCTTTGAAATATGATAACACGAAAACAATACTCTATATACTAGTATATTCAATCACTGATATTATTCCCAAAATTGGGTTACAAAAACGTTATTTCCGGACTATAATAAACCGTGTAAATATATTGTTATTTGGTTAGCTGATACATGTTGGGTGCTGAACTCAATAAAAACACAGTTTGCTTATGTTTAATTAACGCGATGGCTCAACTCTTCACACATGGGATGTTAAACATCTTTATTCAAACGCTGGTCAAGAGCAATGCACTATCTAAGCTCAACATCTCAACTAGACCGTAATGGTTGGGTATGCTGTGCTGTGCCGGGAAAAATTCGGCCGTCCAAATCCGACAGTTACGCGAATTTACATGATGCCACTTTGGCTGAAAGGTGTTGTCAAAACTGCCCGCGAATATAGCATAAAAGTATTAAATAATAAACTAATTTCTAATTTCATAGAACGCATTGACTTTCTATGATAACTCACACATCACTAGGCATAGACTTTTGTTCGTAATCAACAATCTCGATGCAAAATTATTTTTTAATGATTTATTACATTGAATCCGCTCCTTAATTGAATATCAATAATATCAAGGGTAAAACTTGTAAAACGTTCGATCCATACTTGATAAACAACTGAAAGAAAATTACAAATTGTCACCGTATTAATTTTCTTCTGACATTTTCGATTCAGTATATTTTCCTAAGATTGATGGAGCGATACAGCTATTCGATGTTTACGTTGAGTTCAAGGCCATCCTTACCGCGATCGATTGGACTTAGCTAGAATTTTGTCACGAACTTTTTACGTTGACGGTCGTCTTTTAAATCCTCGTCTAAAGACAAGAAAAAAAATGTCAGCATTTTCAGTGTTACAAGGATTGCGCTACAGTATTATAAAAATACTTACAATGCGAGTGAATATAATCGATAATATCACCATTAAATGAACACTTACATGGCCTTGACTCTGAGACCTGAATGGCAAAATACCGTAAGACCAGACAAAAACTGACATTATTTGACGCAGTATATAGCTTTGCACATAGTACCTAAATATAAGAAAGAATATATCTTCAAATTAAACATAATATAAATATTTGTAAAACAGTATACATCTGATAGTTTTCGTGACTGAAAGTCTATTCCAGTGTGTGATTTAATTAATTTTAATTTAACTTATTATTTTATTTTATATTATGACGACAGTTCGAGGTATTCGCAGTTTGAGAACCCTCATGTATTGTCAAATAAGATAAAATCATATCCTCAGACAGTACAACTCTTTGATGACATTCCACCCAATCGATTTTTTATTCAATGATTCAAGCTCATCGATTTTGATGTGTTTTTCATATCTGGTGTCCCATCTTCTCCTTTTCTGAAAATTTTACATCTTTCTTTGAATTTCGATATGTGTTATTATGTGGGACAAAGCTGATTTGTGCTTCCAAATACAAATATTTATGTTCCATGTATGTTCAACAAAAATATCCATCTTTCAGGAATTTTATCTTTTTGGAAGACGCACACCATTGATACAATGCGTAATATTTATTCAGGTGGAAGTACTATCCCTACTTCTCTTGCCTACCAGAGGCATCATCACTCAACAGCCCTCTTGAAGCCGATACTCGAGTGCAGAGGACTATACTTTTGTCTGGTTGTAGCATTGTTTGACTTTTCTTTACAAGTCGAGCCATACGCCCACAGTAGCTGTCCTGTTAGACTGGACTTTTCGCCGAGTTTTCTCAGCCTTAGCTGACTCAGGACAAAGTATACCGCAAGATTTTCACTCTGGTAAGAGCAGAGCATATTTCAAAAATAGGGTCGTACGGTAATGCAATTTACTTCCAACGGAATCATTGGAGCATAATAATTGAAAATTGTTATGAATGAATTTCATAAAACACTTAAAATGTGAATATTTCACTAAATTATTTGAGTATATATAACTTTAAAACACGTATCAATATGGCCGTATGTCTGCTGAAACTCACAATCTATTCATGGTTTAATTTTGTAGACAAATGTTTATCTCATTGTATATTTATATTATATATGAAAATAGTCAATATCATGTTGAAACATATTTAAATAAAACTTGTGACAATACACGGGATCGGGTTCGCGTGAATCAAAATTCTCGCTGATATCAATATGTTGTTCTTTGTAAGAAATACTTTCCCAAAGTGTTGTCCATCGATACCACGCTCAAAGTTTTTGGGCAAGTGTAAATTTAGTAATGTTAATTTCTCAATGATGTAACCGTAAACTTCATGCATTCAGAAATGTTTTGGTTCTTTGGGAAAACACCATATTAAAGTGTCCAAATTGACCCACATATCCGATCGCCATTTTGTCTATTTTTTTTTTTTATCATTCGGCTACATTTTTGTTTATTCCATTTCCTGACAGCAGTTAGTTTTATTTGCTCAGAAGGGCAGCTTGATTCAATATGAACGTGCCCATTTTGACAATCTTGCTCCTCAAGGTATGTTATCTGAGGCTGCATCAGCGAGCATACGGTTGGCAGCAAGTCTAAAATATTATACTATCGCTGAACCGGAGCCGACTCGACTAACATGTTACGCCATTGATACTTGATATTCGGTTTCCAGTGTCGTTTACTGTTAAACAATTCGAAAAAATTGAATTATTCCCACATCAGGTATGGAAAGTAAAGATTAAAAATATAATTACAGACATGTGAATTATTCACATGATGATGGTATTTTAATTAAATATAACAGGCTGAAATCTTAGTACTAATGGCCAAAAACGGTCATCGATATTCATTCAAGTTTGTTAGTATTTCACCTTGTTATATTATCTGTAGCTAGGACAAGCTTTAGATGGAATTATCAACTTTCCAAGTTGGTACAAAAAGCTATTTCGAAGAAAAAAGTATGTCCACCAAAGTTCGAGTTCCTCATTCTTTCAAATTAATTTATATACCTCTATGTATATATATATTTCGGAGTTTATAATATTTTATAGCATACATGACTGCTGATGTCACAAAATAAAAATTAATGACTACTATTGCTTCATTTTGACTACGTTTGGGAAATTTCAACGGGCAGATTCAAAGCCGTCTGTTTTAAATAAATGCTAAATGTTTTATAAATGCTAAATAAATTATATCACACGCATTTTTACATTTTATGAAAACTAATTATCTGATGTAAGGGTGGAGTAAATGTCGATGGCCTTGGAAAAGAATAATGTCAAGGATGATATCAAATGTACCTTACCTGCATAGAAACGTTTCTTCAAATTCTAAACAGCATTTTTCTTGAGTTAAAATATATTCGTTGTCATTATATGCGAGTGTATAAATGAATGATTGATGGAGGGAAGTCAAATTTTTCTATTTTTTGTATGATTAAATTCGGGCTCTTATATTCGTATCAACAATCTCGATATCCTTAGGAAGTTTATTGCAATATTTAGTAACAGGGCACGATTCCATAATTTTATTTAATACGCAATAGGTTTTTCAAACCATTCCAATACATTTGGAATTATTCGAGACTTAAATTATTTGACTTGTGGATTGTTGTTGTCTTCTTCACTCTTTATCACCATCTTGCGACTATCTAATTTTTATAATTTATTGCGTCCCAATCAGTGTAAAGGAACGAACAAACTCCCAGAAGCAAGTATATTTTGTAGGTGTAATTAGAATGTCGAATAAAATTTTCTGTAATGTTTTTCTAAGCACACCAAATCCAAGATCAGGTTCATTCTTCTCTAAATAAGTTTTCGCTGAAACGAAATGTTTCACCATCAGATTCCCCGAAAATCATACGGTATCCTGAACGAAACAGTGATTAAATATTGTTGTTGTCACTAGATGGTTATTTATTCCCAAATCATCTATGAATCCTATGAAATCTTGTATTTTATCCAAAATATCGCTGTAATAAGTTTTGCACATGGGAACACGTTTTTTAATCCGCCAAGCGTGACGGCGGTCTTTCACTATGATTTGCGAACCCGTTTTACATGAAAGCTTTCGATACCGGCGACGCACTGTAGACTAGGTAAGAGACTGTAAAAGTTATGAGTCGAATCATTTGGAATTTTAACTCACATTGGTACAAGACGCATGAATTATCATATTCACGGGACCTGACAAAGCTTGGACAGTCCGGGTACCGGCACCTGTGAGGTACGACAGTCCACAGTTTCATCTTCGTCCAGGATCTGTTTTCAACGAATTAGCAAAGACGACGCCGGAGAAAAAAACAAGTCGTACACTTCGGATCTTTGTTTTAAGAACAGAAGTGTTTTTTTCGAACATGGTGCGTAAGTTCTCCTCTAGATCAGGGGTGCACAACCGTTTTGCTATTGACGGCCACATTGCATTTATTTGTATTCAATACGGCCTCCAGGGGGTTGAAGGCGCGCGAATATTTTTGGCTTTTATGACGTCATGACCGCATATTTGACCCATGCGAGGTGCAGTCGGCCCAATTATGAAGTATGTAGGACTAGTTGAAAGTATAATATTTGCATTTTAAACGGATTTTCTTTTATGTAGACCTATTCTTGAGCAGATATGCTGCAGCAAGTTGCATAATGGTTGAACAATTTTGAAAAAATCGAAGGTCGGGGAGATTATGACGCATCGTGTCGTCTGACTTTTTGCAGTGCTTCTGTTTTACTTCAATATACGCCAGCATAGCCGCCAAATCCTATATTTTGATTTTTTTCCCCATGCGATTTTGTATGTGGACAGCCGCAGGTTGTGCACCGTTGCTCTAGATCAGGGGTTCTCAACCTTTTTTCCGTCAAGTACCCCCCGAGGTCACGATACAATGAACGCGAACCCCCGGTAATCAGACACCGAACAAAGTTGTGATATACTGATATATTAACTAACAATTTGTTGGAACACCAATTAATTGACCATATGTACCTAAATTAAATCGTCTTTTGGATATTGTTGCCCTTTTCGTCTGCCTAACTAATGGATTCCTAAAATCTCTCCCAAGTTTCAATAAGCATAATTCGCTAATGCTCGCAGCACGCTGTCTTTAGAGATTTCACAGTTTGTACGCAGTTTTGAATTTCACATTGTTGCATCACAATCACAACAATGCAAGATCAGGTAAAATCTACGTTTCAATTGGCGTCTAGTTTCATTAGGCACGCATTTTCCCATGGTATTAATAAAGGATATTAAAAAAAACAGCAACATACAAAAACTCGACTCTCATCCAAGTACCCCTAGAAATCTTCTCGTGAACCCCTGGGGGTTCGCGAACCCCAAATTGAGAACCCCTGCCTAGATGTTTTGTACATAGAAATCTATTAGCAAGGGGAAAGCCGTGATCTATTGCTTTCGTTAAAGCTTTTTCATTGTCGCTTCCAATATATTTATACGAATTTCAGAAGTAAACTGCGAGTTAGACAATCTAGCACTCAAATGCGAAAAAATCGGCATTAAGTTTCAAAGCTTGCATCCCAGTGTAGATAAACATGTCCCAAAAATTTGAGGTATCGCCCGTGTTATTTTATTACTTTGTAGTGTGTAAATACAATAGTAGTGGCATAGCAAGATGCTATGTTGAATTTTCGATCTACTCCTATAATCGTTTGGTCAGATGACTGAATATCATATTAAATATTGTCTAGAATAAAATTTATCTTGATTATTATATGGCTGTAGTGGTAAAAGGTTAATGCGACAAACAGCATGTTCCATCATTTTTTTGTTGTTTGGCTATTTTCTTACGTCACCTAGACATGTGATTCCTAATAACGAATGAAAAAGCATCTTCATTTTGCGGTCTTCTTCACCCGCTTTATTTCTTTATTATACCTACACTTTTTTCTTGCCACGTCAAAATTTGTCTGCGCTCAGGCGGTTTTTTCAAATTTGACGCCGTCAGGTGAGCACTGATTTTGTATTTGTGAATTTTCTAAGTTTAATTGTTTATGTGCATCTTTGTGTCGCTAATCCTCTTATAATCAAACTTTGTATTACCTCACAGACATGTTTACGACTTTTGTAGCTATACTAATGCAGTTACGCTAAACCTATGCCTGCAATCATTCATTCAAATATCTACAAAATGGAATTGAGATTACAAGTTCTGAAATGAGTGAGGCGAATCTAAATCGGAATCTGCAGTGATTATTAGCGATCAACTCATTTCTGCAGTTAGGCCTTAGAATAGTACTAAATAATTCTTGGTGTGTAATTGTTGAACCAAAGACGACGGTAAACAAATAAAGGCGATGGAGAACAAGAAAATATTCGAGTCAGAACAAGTAAGATACTATGTATTCAAATTCACAATTTGGATGAATTCAATAACTACAAATTGCCCGATTAGGGCTTTCAGCTTGTGTTAGCGTTTCCAGCCTATATATTTCATGTTAGCAATGTTATATATTTCAGATAGTGTTTATGCAAACCGACTGGATGTAAACAAACTGCGAATGTTGACATCAAAAAACTGCTGGAGCGGAACAAAAACTACGGTTAAATAAATAAATATTCATTAAATTAGGAGTTTCAGTTAGGCCATAATATAACACTAGACTGATATTGAAAAAGAGAGTATTTGTGCTGAATCAAAGACCCCGGGGAAGATATGGCTGCGCAAAGAAGTTTGTACCATTCCATCGTTTCTGAAATAAGAACCCGACAAGATGCGGTCGTGCAGAGATGTTCCGGATATAGTACAGGTGATATTATTTGCTTAATGTTTTTTTCATATACCAACGGGTTCCATGATTTGTTTTTTAAAACCGGAAGTGTAGTTAAGGGGAGGAGATCAAGGAATAATAAGGTAATTTAATTTATTTACAACAATTTATTTACCAAATTTTATGATTCCGCCAGTGCCATTGTATTGTCTTCTTATATTTCACTTAAGAGAAACGAACATTTGCTGTAACCGCATTTCAAATTTACATTTTGAATAGTCTTCCAATTTATCGTCGTTTCGGCAATTAATAAATGACCTGGCTTCCTTTGCAGGCTTCTCGTTCCCTTGCTGGCAATTTTATGTTTTAACAGTTATGTTTACTAATGCAGTTAGATTAATATTAGGCCTACAATTGATTGGGCGTTGAATTCCATCACAAATTCTGGAATTGTTGGCAACGGCATCTGCTGGAGGAAATGCTGGTAGATGAAGATTTATTCAGTTAAGTATGAAGTATTGGATTGGTATTGATGTTTGTACATCTGCAGCCCGGTTAAAGTTGTTTATTCCATGTAACTTCCGTATTTTAACTTTTCCATCGACCACTGAGGTTATTTTCGTCGGCGAACATAATGAGTAAGAAAAAGAAGAAGTCCTAATTCACGCTCCGTAAAAAGTAGAAGAAGCATAACTGGATTCTAACATACAGAACAATTTAACTGAAGTAAGTTTTTATCAACACAAATCATTGTCTTTCCTGTAAGACTTTTTTGCCGTTGTTCACCACGATACTATAAAAATCTTTTTGTTTGTATTTTATAAATTTAAAATTGACGATTAAATTCATTCAATAGAAAGAACTGTTTTATTTGTGAAGCAAGATGAGTATCTTTCCGATGCGTTTAGTAAGAAACTTATATAAATTATGTTTTTACGTTGTTTAGGAACAGAAACTTAAAATTTGTCTTTTTAATCAAAAACAATATCTAAAGGGCCTAATCAGAATCTGATTTTTTTGTTACAGAAATAGTCGGGGTTTGAGATTTGTCTTTAAATGTATTTATCGGAAGCTGAAAGCTGTTTATGAAATGAATGTAGGCTGTCGTGTGAGTCAACATGTAAGTTATTAAACAATTTAACTGTCATTTTCCTATAACACGTTGAACTACCGGAATGATCGAATGTTATAATATACATATATATGTTTCTATCTTAAACAAGTACAAAGATCTTCTCGTATGCAAAAATTTTCCAGCTAAACCAAGTGGCATAAAAATGTATCAAAAATAAATCTAGGTATTGAATGAAGCTTGAAATATGCAAATAAAAATATACTTTTGTAAAAATAAAACATTAAAAACTCTACAATTTTTCTCCTCGATTTGTACGAAAAGTATGGTCATTTTCAAAAATATCAAAAGATTTCGATGGTTACAAAACAGTTTAAATCTGAATTTGTGTTGTGCTGAGGATTCAAAACATTGAAGCACATGTGCGGTAACCGACTGACAGCTATCTTTCTGGATGGGATGAAATAAACCAAGGTCTGACTGAACTAGATCTGTAACCTAGGTAACCTCTATACTTTGTCAAGCGTTATGAGTTTAGAAATGAGTTTCCTTGAGTTAAGTGGCTTTGATTCGAATTTCACGTTCCGGAAACATGGGCAATTGCAAGGACCCAGCGGTATCTCGTATGGCAGTGCTTGTGCTATATGAGGAAAGTAACAGTAAGAAAAATTTAGTTTAGATCATGTGGATTCGTGGACGAAAGAAGACCAGGCCAGCATACAGAAGGTTTATGCAGCTCGTTCTTTATTCTTTTGAAGAATGGTCACTATTCACTTGGTTGATATCGCGTCCATGAATGTACAAAATATGTGAAAGTGAATTGCCTTTTGAGCATGCCAGGAAATATTTATAATATATATATATATTATGATTCAAATTTGCTGCTAGGATTTTTTGCTTGTTGAACTTCTCATTTTGAAATAATATTTACATTATGGTCGTATTCGCCTTCTTCGTGTTCCAATTTGCCTTGCCACACATTATACAAATAACTTTTAGGTCCATAATGTTGTGCACGTGAATTCAGACAATCCTGATATTGCTTTTTGCTAAGTTCTTCAGGGCAGTTTTTGTCGTGATACACATGGATCATAGAAGGTTCATTGCTCTTGAATACTGCAAATCCAGCTTTTTCAATGACTGCGGTGCACTGAAATGAATGAACAAATTAATTCAGAATATTCTGTTGAAAAACAGAAAAATCTCACTCTGCTGTGTTAATTGATTAAACATGTTTCACACACCAGATATGATAGTTTAAAATATCAAATTACTTCCTTCGCTCAAACGGTAAAACCGATTTAAGCAATTGGACACCCAATTTCGAATAAAAATAAACTGTTTTTTGAAACTTATTAGGCGCTTCACTCATACAAAGTCTGGTTAAGAGCGAATAATATAGGTAACTACTTACAAATCTCAGGTCTTCTAATCCCCATCCTTCTATTGAAAGATCAAATCCTCCTGTTTTTTCAAAATCAGTTTTGTAGATTGACACCATGCCGTAACTGAAAGTTCTCCAGAATCCAGCAATTTCCTCAATGAAAAAATGTGACTTCGGGGGTTTTTGATTTGCGTAAACTATATTGGGATCATATTGGCTAAAAAATGTGGGGTAGTAAACCTGCTTTCCCCGAATTGTACTTCGGCGAATATGATTTAATATTCCTCGTGAAAAAAGCAAATCCACGTCACAAAAGAAGAGAAGTTCATCGTTTGTATCGTCGTGTTGCATCCTTTTGGCTCCAATTTGCAATCCAGCTCCTCTTGAAAATGCAAGGCCACCAGTAACTTTTATGAAATTGAATTCAGCTCCTGGAAATTCTTTTCCTGCATGCTTCAGATTTTGTAGTACGAATTCCGATGTTTCGTCCATCATCGAAGCCGTTTTATCGTCCATATTTACCGGTCCTTCTGTACGATTATAATTTATATGAAAGATTTCTGGGAAGTAAACAACTGTTAGACTGACACGCTCATCTTTTGACAGAAAAACATCTTTATAATTTTGTAAGAAACGAACTAGATTTTCTGGACGGCCACTCAGAGCCATAATGAAGTTTACGCGTTCCGACAACGGAGATATGGGATACATAATTAAGCGATTTTTATCTGATATTTTAAATCTCAGATTTTGAATATCGAGGGGGATTTGTTCCTTAAAAAACGTCGCCAGGTTAGCAAAAGTTCTCCGGTAATGAATATTATTCATATACATTGTAATTTTCTTCTTGTGGATCGACACGATTGCCTTAAGGGTAGATATCATATCAAATGATGTCAGAGGGTTCGCAATATACCGTGAGTGCAGTACGGTAATTTCGTGAATGTGTGCAGTCATTAGCAACCCAAATTTGTTTCTTAGCTCCGGTAAAGTCTCGAATACATTATTTACAGCAGTCAGTTTTGAAGCAGTGAGAACTCCCCCGCCAGATGGCCAAGCACTTGAATACAAACTGTGTCGTGACATGTAATCCCATTTGCACCCATAGTGTGAGTTCCAACCCTGTGTGAATATAATAATTAGAGAAGAATTAATAACTAGAATATTCGATAAAATTGTTATATTGGCAATATTAATAGCTTATTAACATGACGATTATCAGAAGCTTCAGTTTTCGTACGATCCGAAATTGTGACCAACTAACGTCAGTCATAATTCCATAGTTTATTTTTTGGACATGCTGAAATAATACAGTGTATACATATCATATTAATTGCGACAAATACAATCATATCTGAATATGCAAAAGGGCCTAGGAAACCGAATCTGTAAAAGTACGTCCACAATTTCAGTATTTTGTTTTGTACCTATTTCTTTCTTGCGACAATCTATTTTGAAATGTTTTACCAATATGTTTTATTTTAATTTTTGCCTTGCATATTGTAGTCCTCGTAGGTTTCATATTTTTTATCACATAGCATTTTATATATATAAAAAAAATTTAATTTGTGTTATTGTCTCCCAAGGAAGTATGTACGATATGTTGAAATACAAGTAAATTAGTTTTGTTAGTCTTTTGATTTCAACTCACCCAAGTTATGATAAATTGATAAAATCGCCTTGAATAAGAATAATATTTTTTTAGAGGTTAAATATTTCCATCTTAAAGTTTCTTTTCTTCGAAGTTTTGCTTGTTTGTTACACGTTGAGAAATTACATGCGAATTATTTCTTCATTTCAATAAGTTGCAACATTCGCAGACCGTGTTTAATCAAAGTCCTGCACATGACTGAAAGTATGTACCTTAATGTCAAAATTTCTGCCGATCAGTAGCAATGACATGCTATTTATTTCCTGTTCAGAATTGCTTATCTTTGTCAAATACTGGTTCAATTTGTCACTTAATACATCAATGTGAAGTTTGTATTGATATTTGGGATCCTTGTTTGAATGGAAAGTGGCTGCAGAAGCTGTGAATATGAAAAGCGTGCATTGTCGTGAAAATATATAAATTTCCTGAAAGCGCAGAAATTGTAACCATAATTGTAAGTATCCTAGGTGATTCAAGATTCTTGCTTCACACTGCATACATTTATTTCTGTATAGAAATTAAAGATGTGCTAGTGTGCAGCAAGACTCTTGAATCACTCAGGATAGTTATCTTCACTCTTGCCACAGCATCCTTGCATTTTTGCATAAGGATGCTCCGGCACAAAATCAAAAAGATGAATTAATGCCGCAGTAACCCAATCGATAGCACAAGACCAATAAGTAGTTTAAAATATAGCCAAACGGGAGTCATTTTGATACTAAACTTTCAAATCCTTATATTTATAATAATATAATTGATTTATGCACAAAGTTATTATTATACAAGAATTAGTGCATTCAGTGAACACTTTTCCTGAGTCGCTTGAATGATAGGTCATTTACATAATTTTTTACGTCCTTGTTTTAAAAAAGATGTATCAATAAAATGACTTAATACCTCTTTTCCTAGGATTAATCTTGTCAATATTTGAACCGTACGTGCCACTGCTATCATAATTTTGATAAAATAAGTGAGTTGTCTCCCATGATTCTGTGCATTTCATGCCAGTGATTTTTTGTATACATCGTCCTAATTCCACATCTTCATGTTTTGTGTACATTTCCTTCAGACAGGCTGATAAATTGGGACCGATTCTTCTCAACATTTCCCGTGATAGAAATACGCCGGTACCACCCTAAGCCATGCAATAAATATTTAGAATTTGCTCAACCCTGTAATTATATTGTCTGAGAAAATCGAGATACTTTTTTTATTCATTCGAGTTATCTAAAGTTCTAAACAAATGACTAGACTCGAATTCGAATATATCCAGCCCGTTACAGCACTAATTCAAAATAGGCGTGCACAAGGAAATGAACCATCACTGAATAACTAGAAATTGAAAAATGAGATTTACAAATACATGAAATCGATTTAATTATTGGTTACTCAAATATCTTTTGGTGATTATATTAATTTACATTAGCAAATATCTTCATAATTACCATGCAATAATTTTCTCCTGGCTTCAAATAGTCTTCTGCGTGTTTTCCATACCCTGCTCTTCCCACAACAAAGGGCTTATTAGGATCAATACGAGAAACTAATTTTATCAGTTTGTCAACTTTTAGGTACGTGTCATCATCAGCTCGTAAAAACCAATCAAACCTGGATTCGAAGACAAAAGGTATTGATTCTAATAGAAAGTAAAGTAACTATTTGAATACATTTAAATATTTCTGGAGAATTCAAGTTTATTATTTTAGTGCTGAAATGTCGACTGGAAACCGTTTTGTTCTAGGCAATGCATTCAGAATCAATCGAATAAGCTTAGCATTTGTAATATTTTATAGTAAAACCAGGATGGCATATTCACTCATATACGTATATTCAATATCGAGCATCATCCCAATAACTTATTCAGCTGTTAGCATTTCAGTGCTCGGCTGTAACGTTTTCGGTGACGAATATCATTTACTACTAAGTGAGTGAGTGTACGTACAACCTTTGTAAATTCCTTAACAAACTCGTCGAGAAAAATTGTTAAATTTTATGAGGTTTCTTTCAATATTATCCAATAATAACTTTAAACTGACACGAATCCACTCACGCAAATCCTCAGCTCAAAACACAGTTTCTCCAACATTTCAAGGTATAATGTACAATACAATATTCACTCACTTTTCTAAATAATTGTCATGAATAAATTTCAACATTGAAAAACTTTTCTTCTGGGGTGGATACGAGTTGTCGGGTACTCCGGGAAGCTGAATAATATTAGCCCCATTCTTTAATGTCGTGATTCGCCCAGAACCTTTACCGATTGTACCGTTGTTGTCCGAAAAAATCTCCAATTTTATATTCTGATTTTTTGCCCACGTGTTCATGATTGCAACAACCCTGGAATTACGGTTTCTTGCTGTTGACATTATACCTGAATTAAATGATAAAATTGGCATAAGCATGCAAAACACGGTTCGGTTTTGGAACATGATTTTGTGGTGTTTAGAACTTATTAAAGTAAAGTTAATCCCAACACTTCCCAACTTTCCACACATTCCGTTAACTTATACGTCTTTATACGAATGAATAAAAAATTATATGCAACATAATTTATACAAACGGGAAACACAATGTACAATTTTGATTTTCTTCAGCCAAATGTTGACTGAGTAAACCCCAAAATATGATGCGGTTTTCGACGTTTTCGAAAATGTACTCGATGACATTTTGAGAACCACTTGTTTCTGCTTCATCAATAAATGATATCGCTTTCAATGGCGGGTTGCGTCAACAGAATAATATTTCATATTTATTCTGAACGAGGAAAGATAACAACCTGGCAAAACCAAACTAATTGGATAAAATGATAGATTACTTTATATGAGTATTTTTATGATGAAATTTAACATTTTCATTAGCGGCTCTCATGTTACAATTAGCACCTGAAAAGCCTGGGTTGTGTAAAAAAATCGGTATCCCGTAGTGTGTGTACCAAGTTAGGCCATATTTTTATTTCGATTTTCCTTATTTTAGTTCTATTACGAGTTCAGGGACTGTCTGTGTCTGTAGTAATCAGTCCCTGTACACAACTTGATGTAAAGTAGGCGAACAAACTTCTGGAGCGCCAAATATTCTTCCTAAGTCGATGCACTCCCGACAAGACAACCACAAAAATTTAAATTAATAATATCAATATTCCCAATGCATACCAATGTACAGCACTCCTCGCGTGACATTTAATTCCGTCTTTTTCGTTTTATCTTCATCCACATAAGGTGATTTTGGCGAGGAAACTGGGAATAATTTGCTGATGCATGATATCTGACGGAGCTTTTGATTGGCAGCATTACTGTCCGAATGAGTGATTAAATACGAGCCAGCAAAGAATCCCACCACTAAACTGATGATGAATCTGAACAAAATCAAACCAATAATGGATAATTATTAGTGAATAAGAATTACGAGCAATTAGGACCGCAATAGTCTATTTATTGCACACGAAATGAACCTAGAAATCGCTTTGTTCTTATTATGTTGTCATGGGTATTATTACTTATCGATCGTAGGAGGTATTTGTCTGTCTGTATGTCTGTTTGTTTGTCTGTTAGATGAACGCGATATCTCGAGAAGGCGAGGTTGAATCTGCTCCAAATTTTGCATGTGCATTCATCATATCTCGGCCTATTGATTTTGGATGAATTATGTATAATTAGCGAGTTATTAATTAATTAGTGATGGGATACGCGGTGTCACTATAGAGTCATGAATTGAAACCGCAGTTTCGATCGATAAGTCTTCGGTCTCCGACCGATATTCTCGTTTTTCATGTTGTTGTGAAATTGTTCTTTGAAATTTTCAAGGGTTAGAGATTGTTGTTGTCACTGGAAGTCTATCACTTTCATTTATTTCATAAACATCTATGGGCTTTATGAGATTCATATTTCACTATGAATTATTGTGTGATGAAGTCATCAAAATTGAAAATTGCGCAACTTGTGGCGGTTCCGCGTTCGCTGCGATATTGTGGTCAGGCGAAGTCGAAGGAAGACTACGGAAAGTCTTCGTACCGATAAACTACTGTAAAAGATTTGATACCTGAACTACTTTTTTGTGACTTTCGTGTTCATATATTTGAGCATTGCTCTCTTGTTCTCTATGCTTGAGATAGCAATATATTATATCTAGTTGGAGTAATCAAAATATGAATGTTCATATGGTGTTTAAAATTCTCTTTTGCAATTAACTTCGTAATTTTTTCAACCCAATCAAGAATACAGGAAGTAGCGCATTAGATACAACAGTTACAATCTGGCGAAGTTTTTGAAGATGATTCTGCCTTAGCGTGGAAATAAAAGCTATATATATACCCAATCCAAAAGCCCTGAAATGTTAACAAGAGCTTAAATAGCCAGTTAAAATAAATTTAGTTAATCTTCAGTTTTCCCAAGTGTTGTGCAAACTTCATTCGATGACGATTTTTTGTTTGAATCCCGTTTAATTGTCTGCTATATTTATATAAAATGAATGGGCTGAATGGTGCCATTTTGAGAGACAACATACTAAAGCATCGCCGGACTGAACGTGCGGTAACCAGTGAACCACACTTAGTGCCTATAGGTCCTTTATCGATGGATACGTTTTGCTTATCTGGTACTAATAACCCATTTTGTAAAGCAATTTATTATTCTGGTTCGCTATTTAAATAAATTATATATATATATAATCTGTTAATTAGTCTCAGTCGCAGATTACCAAATGTTTTCCTAAAAACTGGGGAAACCTCACGGAATTGGCATCATCATAAAATATGAATCAAAACACGTTTAACAGACCGATTCACCCATTAACTGACACGCCTAAATTTTGTGCTTGGAATTTACGTATCAGTGAAAACAAAAAATCACGAGACGCCTAAATTTTGTGCTTGGAATTTACGTATCAGTGAAAACAAAAAATCACGAGACGCCTAAATTTACAATTATATTTCGCTACGCAACATTCTTCCCGAGCTAATCAAAAACAACAAAATCCTATTTTTATTTTTGCGAGAAATTACTCAACAACCACGTGCTTTATTTATGGAATGATTTGGGGTAATTCCTCCGCTACCAATATTGCGAAATTATAACATTGAACGGTGGTCGATGAACGCATACTAACTTCTAAGTGTGAAATCGGAGAAAGGGTCTATTCAACTCCGCGTCATTCGACAATAGCAAGCTCGACTGAAAAATTTTCAGACTGTAACAAGAAAAATTCTGCAGACTCCAGGACAAAATTGTGATCGGAAAATCTTATGAATTTTCCTAGAATTCGAAGTTAGAACATTGTTACAAACAGAACATTGACAGTAACCAGTAATACTAACCGGTTCGCTGATCTCATAAAATTCGGTGAGACGGTTCTATAGAACCGGTGCGAACCGACTGAATTCCACCACTGCGTACTTCTATATATAAAGACCACGAGAGTCGTTGTTAATTTGTTGAACGACTATACTATAGCTTGAAACTTTCGCTTTCAGCGACTAAAAATATACGAAGACACTAGGCCAGGGCAGGCTGACTAAATCGTCTTGCTTGACTTGGCGCTCACTGCGAAGGTTATTCCTAATATAGGCAAGTTTTAAATTCAAACGTTATTTCTGTTACCAAGCCAATATGAGTATTTCGTACAAAAATAGATTAATTTTACTAACCTGTAAACGAGTGTTTCCACATTTCGACTGAATTTTCCCATTCTTGTATTCGTACAATCTGTACAGTGTTCAACAACTCGTCGTGTCCGCTCAGCTGGTGTGCAAAAATAATCTGATCTCTCTGAAACGACACGAGCCTATACCTAAAATTTCACTGCTGAAATAACAAGTTACGCTTTACAAGACAATAGTGAAGAGGTTTTTATCTGTTTTATTGCTTGCTCAAGTATGATTTGATGATATATATATCAGATACGTTGGGCGTGGTTTTTGTTAGTACTTGGCGTACCTAAATTATGTTTGCTGTAAAATATTGCGGTCTCGAGTTTCGCCTCGAAAACAAACATAATGGACATTCAGGACGGACATTCAACATGCGTAATATTACGCAAACTACGCATTGAATGTCATATTACGCAAGCCATAATATATGTCGTATTACACAAAACGAAGTCATATTTACACAATGTGTGGTAAATAGTATTTGCACATAAACCTGCTAGGGTAATGATAAATTCAGATACACTGCTATATTTTATAGAACCGACGTTGGGGGGTGATGTACCCACATACCTAAAACAATACTTTTTATTATAAATGACGCTGTTGGTTACCACCTGTATCATCGAAAAATGCACTCTAAATATTAACGAAAGCGCATTTTGTGTGATATCTACTTGAAATAAAAATCGACTTTCCGCGCCACTCATCTCTAACGATGCCTAGTCATGTGCAACTACGTCGTATTCGTGACCATTCAAGCAACTAATTCATTCATTGTGACATAACAAAAAGATAATATAGATTTGTCTGGTTATTAAAACTTACATGTATGTTCCAATATATTGTAATCTAGTATTTTTTAGTCATTCTAACATAATCTTAATTATTGGGAACATGATACGTATTACCTGACGTCTTCTATTCAAGATAATCTCCCTCTGTATTACCCCCACAACATAGACAAGTATTTTGTATCAACCATTCCACGCTATTGCACAATCAGTGTTATAAGAACCTCTTACAATGGCGAAATATTTCGATAGCTAGTATGTGTGGTGAGAAGACGAACAAATCATTTCGAAACAATTTCGAAAAAATAGCTTCATATAAACTATAAAGCACTACAAAGTTTTAATTGTTTATCGCTGAAACAAAAACTTACTACTAAAGTCACGTAAGATTCATTCATTGGTGTCGACGACAGTGAAAACGCGATCATCTTGAATCATTGTACAGTAGTCAATTTGCGGTAGATAATTTGATGAGTTATTTTGCGCTCGGCAGTGCTCTTGTATGTATTGAATAAGTCTTAAAAAATACTATTTCGAAATTTCATTCACTCCGTGAAAGGCCATAATTTAAACTGTAGCTCTACTAATATAAACATATCTCATTACCAGATTTGAATGTGCTTAATATTTGTACTATATGTCGTACGGCCCATTTTCCCACCAACATACCCAAGAAAATGTACTGTGTCGTTGTTGGCGCGTAGTATTGTTAACTTCAAGTTTCGTTTCCATGGGGAATCCGCATTATTCATTATGATTTCTCAATTACACAATATGCTATTTTGGATATCAGATAATTTGTCGAAACGAAGCAGTATGTCCTGTTTTCTTTCTTCTCGTAAGCAACTATGCTAATTGAATCACCTGCAGATAACTTACGTCTAGCCTATCTCGTTTAGGCAACACCAATAATAAATTGAGAGGAGATTGAGCCAAAAAATAACCTGTAAACGATATGTTTTAAATTATTTATCTCAGACTAACAACTTGAAATGACCGGAATCTTTTTGGTTGGACAAAGCCTACACCCTATATCAGTGGTCGGCAAACTTTATGTACTACTGGGCCAAATAAGCACATCAACAAAAGCGTGCGGGCCACAATAATTTCCGCCTATAAACATCATATTATGACGCGCTCTCAACTCCTTTTTTTTGTTAATTACAACTAACGGTAGGCGCGTTCAGCAAGTAAACGCTATACAATGTGCTTTTGTCTGCGCTAGTTACTACAAACCAAACGCCGTACAATAATTTTTGTTCCATGCATTAAAAGTGAGGTCGTTCGAGGGCTATAAAAGATTTGTTCGCGGGCCGTATTTGGGCCGCAGTTTGCCGACCACTGTCCTACATCATTGATAAGTTCGTGTGCAAGTGTATTTATAAGACTCAATTCCAACGAGTTTGAATTTTATCAAATTGTTACGAATAGATTCGAAAATTATAATAGCTATTTAGACTGTAATAGTTTGTGATATATACAACAATATTATTTAGGTATTACAAATATGAATGACATTTTAAAATCAAGATTCACCACTAAATAAACCAATGTTAGCAATTGTGTTCAATTTATTTTCTCACTTTTTATTACAAGTTTCACATATTCGCTCCGATCGAGAGCTTAATTTCTGAAACACTGCTATACTGTCGAAATAACTGGTTTATTATTCCGTATCTAATCACATTGCACCCTGAGCCACTCGATAACAACCTGACCAACTCACGTACCGCTTGGTTCTTATTGTAGAGACTTACAAATTTTTCACAAAAACATTTCTCGGCGTAAATAAAAAAACGCGGATGATTATCCTGAATCTATTTTCTACCAAAACCCATGAAAACTGCGTGAGGGCAACTAACATTCCTAAATCCTAATTTGCTGTCGACATAATGCTTTTTTGGAAATAACAACTTATTTTTAACGGTTCATCGACAGCTACGTTTGCAATTCGCTGCTTCATTGAACACCGAGGCTCTCAAATAGTGGGAGAGATATTTACAAAAGTGAAATCTTGTTTTGTGGGACAATGCAAATCATCTGGCTTGAAAAATTGTTACTTACTGTTTTTAAATACAGTATATATATACATTGCGGCAAGTCATACCACTATTGGTCGCCACCAACAGACTTGAAGAACTTCGGTGACTCCGGTTTGCCAGTGGGGTAAAATGCATTATGTTAAGTTTTAGGTACAAGTAAGACGTTTAATGCAAAAGAGAGAGAGAGAGAGAAAGTTTCAAATGAAGTATGATTTCTGCTGGTTAGATTGGCGAATAGAATATTTTTAGCACGTGGCATCATTCCATATAGCATGGAAACTAAATTATTCTATTCCTTTTACTGTTGCAAACACAGGATTTTAGAAAAAGTGAATTGGAAGGCTACTTTGTGTTAGCCTCGTTTCTATTAGTTTTGAAACATCGCGCGAAATACAACTTTTGAAACAAATTGGAGGGCCACTATGGGCAAATCATTATTGGCCACGAAGTGGAATTATGAATCGTTTTGTTATTAATATTGTTCTTGTTTTTTTCTTATTGTTGTTATGAAAAAAAACGCTTTTTTCAAAAACTACTGGACCAACTGCTTCGAAATTTTCCTCGGTTAAAGATTGTATTTTTTGCTAGAAAGCTATTACTTTTATGTATTTTAAACTTTCTGTGGGTTCTATGTGTATCGTTTTACACTTCAAAAATGTGTGATGACCTCTTCAAGATTAATAAATATTATTTATAGCGGTTCTTCGACCTTTCACTTACCACGCGAAAGTAGAAAGGTTTTTAACGGTACTGTAAAATGTAAGGTAGACTACGGCTTCGCTTTGTCTTCGTGTCAATATATTTGAGCATCGATCTCTTGTATTCAATAAATCATACAAATTTTTATGAAGCACGCAGTACACATGCTTCATTACTTCTATAGGGCACAGAGGTCCTTGTGGGAAAATTGCGGAAAAAGGACAATCAATGTTCTCAACCCCAAAACATGATCAAAGATGTATTTTATATTCTTTATTAATATTTACAAAAAAGCGAAACATTTTTCAAAAGCAGTATAAATTTCAAAAAAATATTTCTTTTTGATTGAATGAAACCGTAGCCACAAAAACGTTGTCATCTGGCTAATAAAACTTCAGTAAAAAAACATGGAGAACTTCTAACCTGTTAATTTTAGAATCATCCCGATGGAAATGAAATTGCATATACAAGCCAATTGCAAAGTGGAATTCATGCCAGTTATCATGCCAAAGTCTGCGACCCATTTTCTACATTATTGATTCATATATAAATATATATATCAATTACAATTCAGTGTGAAACCATCATCCAAAATGCTGGAAATAGTATATTACACGTGCTTGACAATAAAAATGGCAGCAGATGAAAGACAGGTAGTACTATAAACGCGTCATCAAAGTAGCCTATTTATGAATGATGCTGCAGCCCTAGAGTTTGTGATTGTCTTCAACAATGTTCTGATTTGGTCTCGCAATACTCCAATGTGAAGTTTATATTGATATTTTGGGTCTTTATTTGCATGAAATGATATTGCGTTGGCTGTAAAACAAAAAACATTATATTACTTTTTCTTTCTGTGACAGTGGTAGAAAATTTAATGACATGAATAAACTATTTTATAGTAATTTAAAATATAGCAAATAGCCTCTGCTATTCATTTTCAATTCATGAGGTCATTGATGCAGTGCTTGTTAATTATTTCAATCCAATCTCGAATATGCAAATACTTTTAATATGATAATATGATATATATATGATATTTAATTGTATTACATGCATGTCGCGAGTTTGCTTCGCTGATTATGTAAAATGTTTCATCTTTTTTATGATTTTAAATTGGCTTAAAGTCTGATACAACATCTAGTCTAATTATGGGCTTACTTTCAATAGTTCATTTGGCCAGAATTAAAAATTTTGGTCAACGCCATGTGAAGGGACCACAGCAACTCGGAAAATCTATACAAAGCAATTATTTTCGTACTTCTGTTTTTCCTCGAAATATTTCTAATATTTCGACCATAAATATTCTTACGACTTTTTCCACCATAATTTTGATAAAACATATCCATCGATTCATTGCTGTCAGAGCAGGCTATGCCCGTATGCTTTCTTATGCATCGTGCAATTTCTACGTCTTCGTGTCCGGAGTACATTTCACTAAGACATGATTCTAGATGTGGACCGATTAAATTCAATAGTTTCCGTGAGAATAGCATTCCGCTACCACCCTGAAATTCAATCGACCACGACAATTTAATTGACATGACAGGTAGGCAGTTTAGATGGGAACTGTTTTCAGTACCAAGTGTAAAACAGCTGAGATGCATTGGGAATATTCCGTCATCGCAAACTGCAACAGCTAATGGAGGTTTGAACGAAATCGTGGTTTTAGCAGTGGTAAAACAACAGTTCATAACAAAAGAGCAATGCTCAAATAGGACGTGAAGGCCAAAGCGTAGTAGTATCAAATCTTTTACAGTACCGGTAGTCTTCCTTATCAGAAACTCCCGATTTCACTGACCACCAGATTGCTGGAATGCGATCGCGGAACCTCCACGCGGTGGATAATTTTGATGACGTCATCACACAAAACGAGATAAAATGAATTCCAATAGCCCACAAAAATTTTATGGAATAAATAACCTTCTTTCTAGTGACCTACCAACAACAACGATCTTTACCTAGAGTAAATTTTAAGGCGATTGGTCCGGTAGTTAAGAAAAGGAACAATTTTGCATAACAACAACAATAAGAAGAAGAATACAAACATCAACAAGTTGACAAGTTGACAAAACGGTCCACAGGTCCACTAGATGTCAAACAAGAAGACAAAATCAGGTATATGAAGGAGAAAATGGTAAGGTATAAAGATGGAAAAAAGGGACGAACAGGGAATAAAAAAGATAAACATGTAAAAAATAATGACGTAACAAAGTGTAAAGGAAGGTGAATTCTTGATTTTTTCTAATATTTAAATATTATATTTACCACACAGTAAATATCCAAAGGGTTCATAGAATCGATCGGTTTTCCTTGTTTTGGTCGTCCAATGTAATAAGGTTTTGAAGAATTAACCCTGCTTAACAATTTCACGAGTTTGTCAACTTTTATGTAACTATCGTCATCAGCTCGCACAAACCATTCAAAACTATAAATTATATAAATGTCAATAAGGAAATAAATTGTCTGCCGACCTGGAGAGATCACGTTTTTTTAACTAGTATTTGAAAAGCAGCTGCAGTATAAATAAATTCAGTCATACATGTCTCGTAAATGAACATCAAATTTTAAATATACCCCCACACAGAAAATGTGTGATATAAAAATAAACTAGTGGGCTTCGATCTACGAATTCTAACAGTTGTGATCCAGGGTAGTGTAGTGACAACCCATGTCTGTTTAAGCTCCTTGCATTGAAGTTAAATTACGTATCAATATCACATGCCCAAGATTACAAACGGTTAAATCACTTAGCCTAGTCCTAGTACATAAAAATAGTTTTACACTTATATTTCCGTATTAATGTGAAACACAAAAGTCAATAAAATAAATTAATCAAATATTTAACGAATGTCGTGCTGGTGACAATTGTGATTGCATTATGTTGGCCTTTCCCAGATGCAAATTTCTCTATAGTCCTATGCAAATTCCCGTTGTTTTAAACAGTAATACTATTACTTACTCGTTTAAATGATTATCATAAATGAATTTCAGCATCGCGAAACTTTTCTTTTGTGGTGGATATGAAATATCAGCTGTACCGGGTAGCTGTATAAGTTTTATGTCATCATCCAAAGGGATAACTTCACCGAGGCGCGGATTGTTGGCCGTGCCATTGTTCCCAGTAAACAAATTCAATTTTGTGATATTTTTTATGTTTCCGAGCCCAAGTATCTGTTATAGCTGGTATTCGAGTATTTCTATTGCTTTTCCATTGATATATACCTGGTGAACAAACGCGAATACAGAGTATGAAAACATGAGAGAACATTGGTTGATAATACGAGTATGCAAGGATAACTATTATATTTGATTTTATTATGCTAATTATGCCTATATGGCTTTTTATGCTTCCTGACGGCAATGCAAGTTATGAATGCCGTATACTTTGTTGAAATTGGCTACTGAAAAACATTGAAGTATTAATTGCCTCTCTAACTACATCAAATTTAGAAAAATTCAAATCTTCGAACAAAATAATTTATTATGAGAAACTAAAACAAGAGAGCATTGCTCAAATATATGGACATAAAGGCCAAAACGAACTAGTACGGGTATGCAATCTGCCACAGCAGACTAACGGTACCGTGTCCTTAAGACTTCGCCCGTCCACTAACGCGGAATCGCCATAATCAACATAATAATAATAACAAAACGTTCTGTGGTGTGACCACTTCGTGTCCGATAGCATTATTCAAAATATTATATATTGTAATATACTGTCTATATTGCTAGGGGAATAATTGCCCCTATTTTTCAGATAGCAGTATTGACAATGTCTCCAAATTAAGTACTTTATGAATTATTACACATTTATGATTTTAAGTCCGCGCTTTCAGTCCCGTCCAATCATAGTTTTCGATATTTTAGACTGAATGCCTTAATATGTAACTTAGGAAATTTTTAAGTTTTCAATGCGTCAAAATAAATGAGAATTATTATACCCTTTGCATTGATCTTACCAATATATATTAATCCTTTGGTTTGACTTAGACGGGTTCTCTGATATATTTGGGGTTTAAGTTTGACTGATTGTAAGTGTTCTTCAATTTCGTTCCAACTTCTTTGTCTCAAGCGGCTTCCGCACCAATCTGCACGGAAATGCATTCCGATAAAATATCCGAGGACAACACTCGGAAAAAGTCTAAAATTTAAATTTGGTCTGTAAGAAAGAGTCTTTGTGCATTGTTTGTTGTAATCGATACATGTGGACGAAATACGTTTATTATACTAAAAGGATTATTTGTTTACATCCATTGAACTACAATATAATCATGACAGCTCTTATTTCTTACATGGATAACCACATAATACTAATGTTTTCTCGTATATGATGTGAAAACTTGAACAGAAAAATATTGAAGGCGCATAGATACTCACCTGAAAAAAATGATAACCAGTTTCGTCTTGATATTTTTCATCTCTTGTAATACTTGGCAATTTGGTATAGGGAATTGAGTGTCCCTATATCTGCGTGTTCTTGCTCCCGTTTTATTATAGTCCTCAGAGGTCAATAGGCACACAATTTATTGTAATGCCAAATATTCGTATATTTTAAAGTTGCACGATCGAATTGAATCTAAACAAATATATTAAAATATACACTTAAGTAATAATACCAGTTATACGGTTGAAATCTAAATAAGTAATTAACACAAAACATGAAAACTATAAAACTATAATCAGGGAAAATAGGGCACTGACCTATTCATTAAATTCACATATTATTAATATAAAGCGGTTAAATAACATTAAAATCCATAGTTACATCCCACATTCGCTACACTGTAACGAGGATAGTGATTTTTGATTGCGTAAGCGCCATTCATACTATTACATAGCAAAACTATGTAAAACGCATTTTTTTCTAGCTTGTTCGGATCGTTTGCGATTAATTTGAGTGCTAATAAACAACCATGGTGTTTTATTGTGTTGTTATTTTTCACGCCATAGCCGTTGTTCGAGCTGGTCAGGATAAGGCAAGAGCGTAGTCGGCCCAAATTTTTTTTTTAGTGGGGGGTTGGGGGACAAATTTTGAAATTAATGTTTCATTGTAAATGCCGCAAAATTGCATTTTGAATAAATGTTGAAAATTAGGCGTGGGGCATGACCCTCAACTCCCTTCTCCCACTCCCTGGTATGCCAATGGGGTGTGCTGTGAAGAATTTTTAATTTCGTGACGTGATTCAACCTTATCTCCGAACACAAATATACACAAACAGCAACTGAAACACAGGAGTCAACTTCAAGGTTCGACATTTCTTGGTCATTTTTTTTACACCAACCCAATATAATTCGTAAATATTCTATCGAAATTTGATGAAAATAATGATTTCAGTAATAATAATAAAAATTCTGGTAATATTCAACATGTCAATTTTAACTATTTATATTTGAGACTAGTATATCTAACGGTAGTTGGTTAATTCTACAAGCATTTTTCAGTTATAAATTCGGGTTTTGTAATGTCGAATTGGTTAAAGGGGATAAATAATCAGGCCATTAATACAACAAAATCTTGTAAAAAGGAGTTATATAACCAGCGAACTTCTGCAAAGTGCTTAAAATATGTAAAAACTAGCGCTCACCGCATTTCCGAAGTACCGGCAAAAATGATATCGAGCCAGACAATATCAATTATCTAAAGTGAAAATAGCTGTACATCAGATATAACCAGTGGTGAGCTGTAGCCGGAACGCACCGGAACGGCGTTCCGGTTGTTGGACATTTTATTGCATTTGCGTTCCTGTTGTTAAAATAAAATTATGGTACAAAAAGTCTAGTTTCTCTGGTTAAACTAGTTATTAATTTATGTTTTGTTACAATATAATTCGTAATTCTTACATCACATCGCGCAAATAATTAGTACAAAAGTAACGTGTAAAAGATATTTCCCCGACCTTTAATCCCATGGAAATTCATCTTATACCTTTCTAAAAATAACATTTGTATTGGATTGCTATAAATATTCTTGTAATTCTACACAGACATATTTCAGATAATTTCTCCATATTTCATTGCAGTTCTTCGACTCTATCTTAGGACAGTCAAAACATTCTGTCCGCGTCTTGTTGTAAATATATTACATTTTTGCGAATTAGGTGCGTTCCGGTTGTTACGATTTTTCCAGCTCATCACTGGATATAACACGTAAGGTGGCACTAAATCACAATGACCAATGTGGAATTCATATTATATGGCGCCGCTACCGGTTGAATCGGAAACTGTTTGCTCGACTTTATATGAATGAAAGCTTAAAAATACAATTGAGCCTTTTTTATATAAACAGAAAAGACCAAATATTTATTCTCCTCAATTTATCAAGTCTGAATTCTGTGAGCTTAGCTATCTGCTATGATGTCATAGAAGAACAACTTATTCACGATTTTTTCGTACATCTCTCTGAGTCAACGTTCACAACAGCATGATAATAGTGAATAATATTTTTGTTGTTCATCATAAATCAAAGATTAGTCAATTCAAATTAAATGGGTTGATGCTAATTTATTATAAATATTCGACATGGTAGCATAGTTTGCGGAAATTATTTATGAAACAAGGAAATGAATTGCATCTGGTATATCAAATCCATTTTATAATTGATGTTATCGCATTGCACAATGTTTTTAATGTTATGAATGCCGTAGTCTAATATAATTTGACATGGCATAAATATATACAATTTAATAATGTTGTTCTGAATTGTACGTCTTTTATCGTATTGGTCTATTTGCATTCAATTGATTTTAGCCAGTTTCTAAAATGAACGATATACTAAAATAGCCAATTTAAATGTTTAAAAAAACTGGAAATATACTTTGCCAAGTAATTTTTTTCAAACCAGTACAAATCCAATTAGTTTTATCAATCCAACACCAATGCCAATGAGGATTGTTCCCAAAGAAAAAGGCACATCGTTAAGCTAACAAGCTATTTTTGATTGCTGTGCGTATGCGGAAGTTCCTAAAATCTCTGAATTATCGTAAAAATTGCCTTGCCAAAATCGATTATCTTCGTGGCATTTAAACCATTGCTCGATGATTTTTTATTTAAAAAATTTAAATTTAAATTTTTTTAAGCCAGTAGAAAGACAAAACAAGGAAAGCCGATAAAAACAATTCTAACAGCGCGATTGGTAATGAACAATTCGACTCGGGAACTATAAAATAAATAAAACTCATATTCTTTTTGTCCCAGGTGTGACTGAAATTTTGTTACGAACCCACCCTTGATGTATAATAATAAATAATCTCATCAAAATTTCAACCAGACTTTTTTGAAAATGACAGAAGTTTGGCACGGGTTTGAATGGAGCGTCTGTCTACAGGATTTCCAAATTTATACAGACATCATCAATATTCATTATCGCGTGTCCAGCATTGGCAATGATACAGTCTCGTACATATCACGAATGGGAATTATGCTCATCACTTTATGTTCACATCTACTTCAACCTGGAGTATGATTAAAATAACCAATGAAAGATAGTGAAATCACTCGATAAACCCGATATTATGATTTTATTTATGTTTTTGCTACATGTTGTAAGTTCAATTTATTACAACTATTCCACTCCCTTGAAGTGCTTCGTGGCCACCAGGTATAAAGTCGCTTTAGTGAACGAAGTACAAGACAAATAGGGTGATATTCCTTACAAAATATAATTAACATTACCCGAATAAAAGTAAATTACAATGACACGATATTCTCGGAATGGGCTCACACACTACTACAGTAGCAGGTAAAGTCTCGTATTCGATTTGAATGATTAACTATTCCTCACATTCCCGCCAAAAATAAACGAGATCATGAATGATAGGAATGATCCGTTAAGCATTTCACGGAAATAACAAAGCAAAATCATGAGAAGTATTTCCCATGTAATCACGGTATTTTTATTTTTATTTATATATATTTTTTTTTTGCTAAAAGACATTATTTTTATTTTCAAGTTTCAAAAGTAAATGTTTATCATTTTACATAACCTTTTTTTTTTTTACATGGAACACAATTTTTGCTAGGAACAGGAGTCGGTACTTCGTTTACTTGATTTTAACCTAGTATTAGTCACATTGTTTGTCAAAATATGGACAAAGTGGGTTATTTAACTCTCTATGTGAAGAGGGATGTTCTGATGAATGGAGGAATTTCAGTAGTGGTGGTTTGTAAGGCATCTGCCTTTGTCCCCAGAACATTTGGTCATACTTTATGAATTCAAGATGACTCTAAGTGTTGAGTGGAGAATGACATATTCTCAACTTCGGTAGAAGTTTATGTATGACTAGTTAAAATTAACATCTAAAGACAGCAGGATTTCCGAAATTTAATTTTGCACATTTGGGTATGTGATCAGAATGTCTCGAATGCGTGTATATCGCTGTGATTTTTCATAAATTCATTATCAGACACAATTTTTTGCATATAATTGCAAATTGACATAAATACTTTATGGTACTTAAGTTGGGTCGCGATAATGCTTCCGGTTTTAATCATTTTTGGTTAATTCATGGTACTCTGCTATGACCTTATTTTATCAAAAAATATATCGTCACGCTAATAACCGAATTTGTAAGTCATTTTTGGCGATTTTGAGTTTTTTTTTATAAAATAGGGATTTATGTGATGCTCCGCACCTGTCTGTTTTATTTTAAGAATTCCGAAACTCATAAAAATGGAGGTTTAGTATGACATGCACATTTGTGCAATTGTTTCGTCATAATGAATTATCATTGTTACCGCAGAACTATTGTGACGCCACGAAGGCAAAATAACCTCGGCGAAGTATTTTCGAGTTTTTGCATTTCGGATTCTAGCTTAGCGCGTATTAATTTGAATTTATACTACAGTATAGGAAGGCGTGATATTCACTGTCCGAGTCCAATTCGCCTTGGTTGGCTTTTATATTGGATGCATTGCTGTTTTATTCTTTATATTTAATCTTAATCTTATTTCGGTGGGTGTGCAGAACGTGTTATATTGATGAAATATATATTTTAAAACATAAAAAATAATGTAATCGAAACTGATTAGCTATTTTGGGGATTGAACATTGTAGATACTGGGAATTACATTCATTTGTGGAATTTATAGTTTTCAGGACTGCACTGTTAAAAAAATTAGTAAATATACTAATTTTTCTAGTAAATTTTTACTAATTTTTCGAGTATTTTATTGAAATCACGTGACTTGCTTAGCTAAGCCAATCAGGGTGCTTGTTTGTTAATAGTTTACTAATGAATAGTAATTTCACTGATCAGTTAGTAATTAATATAACAGAAAAATAGTAAAAAGATTTGTATACTTGGAAAAAGTAGTAATTTCACTGATCAGTTAGTAATTAATATAACAGAAAAATAGTAAAACGATTTGTATACTTGGAAAAAGTAAAAAAAATCTAAGTTCCTCTAATTTACGAGTAACTATTCTTTCCAATGAACGAATTTATCTACCTACGCATGCGATATAGTCACGAAGCAAATTTAAATACTTTAAAATTTCATCTAAATTTTGCTCTGGGTATCAAATTAATTTGAATTAATTTTATTCTAGAATTATTTTGGTTCATCACCCAAAAATTCTGATTGTTTTGCTATTGCATTAGACAAGATAAGATATTGTTTTATATCTTATTTTTCCGGAAGTAAGCGGACCTATTTGTCCAAATATTCATCCGCAAAAACTCCACGGGGCAGGTTGCGTGCGCAGCATTTTTGATTTCGAGTTTCCTTGTGCCGCGCATCTCGGCTGGGACGCTAAGCTGTTTGGGAGCTCAGCATCGGTTGCGTGCGTATGAAAACTGAATGCGGTACGCATGTTAAGTATGCAATAGCTTGAGTCTGAGTTTGATGATTGTGTTAGCAACGGTCTGTACGGTAGGTGCGGATTTACCACGGGTAGTGGTCTGATTATTGAGGTACCGGTACTGGTACTTTTTGCAGAGAACAAAGTTTCCTATATTTTAATCCTTCTCTTTACCGTCACAGGTCATTTGGTACCGGTAATGTGCCAATTATGACATCACTCAAATGTCACGTGCCTGTAGCCCGCGCTTTTTCTGGTTTAGGAATTAGGACTCGGTAAGCGAGGCTCTTTGTCGTTAGTGGATGTTTATTTTAGGCGGTTGGTTTTTGTAGATGTTTATTTTAGGCGGTTGGTTTTTGTAGCTTTTCATGCGTTAATTGAGCATGTTTGTGTTACAGTAGTAGACTTGTAGTTGGTAGACCAAAATATTCTTTAAATACCGTGTACATCAGCATCTAATGGTACCGTACCTGTATACAGCGACATGCTTACACACTGCGTTAGTTTCGCCGTGTTACCGGCACCAGTATCTATCGACGACCAAGAGTAAAAATCTGAATTGGCTATTTCAGTATTTGTTTCGGAATAGATGTAACTTACCGGTAGCCTATGGTGATGTGATACGTTCAAACGTTACAAGTCGGTGGCAACAATAGGTACGGTACCGGTAACAGACAGATGAATTCAATTATAGCTACAAAGTTATTGTTATACTGAAAAAATAAAATAAAGCATGGTTTAGTTGGACATAATAACATGGATGAAAATATGAAGTATTGCGTTTTTTTGCGTCTGTTAGTTCTATTGCTAAATTTGTTTTCAGTGACTTATGCTCGGAAGAATTGTAACCCTTGAGTACATAAAATTGGTTAATTGTACCGTTAACCTGTTCAACATTTTTGGCCCTTCCCATTGCCTAGGTTTATATAGGAAAGTAAATAAATATAGGAAAGTAGTGATTACATTGACAGGTTTATTTTTTGAAAATTTATTTTTTATTTTTGGCTGTGATTTCAATAAATGTTTTAGTTCTCGCTGGCACTGCTGAAGATTTTAGTAATGGCTAATATAAATTTGAATGAACTGTCTAAAATTGGTTTGAATAACCAAGCAATACAAGACCTGGATGTGAAATTAAGAGACCTTGGCGTCGAAGATTCTTCTGATCTCTTGCTTATTAAAGAGGAAGACCTCTATGGTGTGGTGTCTGTCATATTGGCCCGGAAAATTGTTGCATACTGGAAAGATAGTCTATGTCTGGATATTTCATCCGATGCAACTGAACTATTCAGCGATTCCTCTTCATCTTGCAATGCAGAAAACTTTGTGATATCTTGGAAAGACTTTCCCACTGACATAATTGAAATGTGCAAAAATGGCACAGTTGTTCCATCAGCCAGAAGAAGTGAGTTTGTTCGCATTCTTGTGGACTCTGTCCTGAAGTGGTCGGGCAGTTCCAAGCCGTCAAGGGCAGAATTGTCGACTATTGCTAAAAGGGTCATACGTAGATATCCAAAGTCTTTCCAAGATACAAGTGGACCTGAAGGTGAAGTCATTGGGTCTGGCTATTCCTACCTGACCCAACAAATGGTTTGGCGTATTGACAACTTGCGGAAGTCCACATCAAAGAAGAGAAGCCAACAGCCTAAGGTGGAAGAACAAGTAGATGTTGACAGATATGGCTGTGTGCTTTGGGGTCCTGAAACAGATAATGAAGGGGAACTTGAACAACTTAGAATGTGGCTCAAGCATGAGTACACATTATCAAAGTCTGATCAGGATTTGGGAAAAGTGGAAGAATATATGAAACAGACCTTCCCTCTTCAACGAAAGCATATAAATCAAAATCAAAGCATCAGTGGGATCAAGGAGTTATGGCCACACTTGTTCGATGGAATCTGTTTAATGCGCCATTATGAAACATTGGTTGGTAAAACAGAAGCTAAAAAGAATATTTTAAAAAAACTTGAAGACAATTCCATATGCATTTACAAGTAAGTTGCACAAATATCTGATACTTTGCAAGATAATTTTCATTCGAATGCTATGCCTTGCAGAGTTTTTGTTGAAAGCCTTCTTGTGCCCATTATTTATTGCTTCCTATAAGAGGTTATAACTTATCTGAGGTTAGGCTATACTTAAATATTCTGAAGTTCTTCTATTCTTTATTTTACTTCATAATCAAGTACCCTAGTTATTGTGCACCTGTTCTTGCAGGCTGGTACCACATGCGACATAGTGTGCTCTAGAGGTTGTCTGTTTCCATGTCTGTGTAATAATTGCTTGACAATAATTGCCCTTTCTTTTCCAAGCAGGCTGTAATTTAATGTTACTTTCATCTCTCTTCAGTCTTGCAATAGGAACAAATTATGTAACTAATCGCAAGGTCGATGAGCCAACCTCTATGAAATTACCAGTACTTAGTGTCATTCAATCAGAAAGTGGATCACTTACTCAGGCATTATTATTTAGGACATTGAAATGTTCAACCAATAAGAAAATTTCTGAATTTATAAGTTCTTCAAAATCGGAATCAAAGAATCTGAAAACTGAATTACCAAAATCGACTGGGGTGGTCACGTTGATCGCCTATTATTTCGGAGAGGACCTAAACCAAATATTTAAGTGTTTCCAGGTATGTTCTATGCTTTTTTTGAAAGTTTTCGCATCAAGAGTAATGTAACTTGTGCACAACACTGTTCGTATAAAGTTTTGTGAGCCGACTGCAAATTAATTGGAAACTAACTGCATGATAGTGGTTAACGGAATTTTTTTGCATATTTATTCACTACTTTGCCTATTTTCAGAAAGAAACCACTTTTCCCCAGATATTAGAAGATATTCCAAAATCTCCATTTATTGCTTGCATAGGTAAGTGTTAAGAGGTGAGCGATGTAATTGTGAATATCAGGAACAATTTCGAAATATGATATGATAGCTGTTTTCCTGTGATTAATTCTGCAACTTTTTCAAAGGCCATTTTGTGTCGCCATATACTTCTCAGTTGTGATTATTATAAAATGATATCACCAGCTTCTGTCATGCTACCTGCTTTAACTGTTGCGTCACAGTATGCATTGCTTGAAATATGAAATATAATATTTCTGAAAGAACGTAATGCTTATCATAAGCCTCATCAATATAATAAGTTCTCCCTTCGTTCTATCAGTGTTACGCTCGCTATCAACGGTGAGTGAAAATAAGTACAAATCCATGTCTGCTATATTAAATATATAGCCAAAGCCAATTTTGAGATGATCGTACTATTATACAATTAATAATTGTGTAATTGCATATTATCAAAAAATCACTAATCGTCCACCTCTAGTAAGTGTATTTGTTATTAGTTGGCTTTAGAAGTTGAGATAATAAGATTAATCAACCTGTCAAGTGACTTTCACTTTATTCATAAGCCTATAGATTCGAAGCTAAAGTTTACAATCTTGTGTTTCAGGTAACACGGTAGCGACTGCTGAGACTTTTTACGTCATCGCTGAACGAGAAGTGGTGTGTTCCTGTAGATCGTTTTTTGAAGCGGTGGCTTTTCAGTTTGCTTCGTTCTATGTTTTCAACATAGAATATCCAAATAAGGCCTTGCTGACGTTTGATTTTATTCAGAGGTAAGAAAAAATGTGCTAGTCTACAGTGCTGATATAATTCTTGCTGTTGGCACAATGTACACGTTGTTGATGAATTACCTGTTACTTCTGTCATGTAGTGTTATTTGATGACATACAATACAAAAAATGGGTTGTGAAAATGAAATATGTGACTGGACTTGCACAAACTCGTGGTGTCCATACCCTGGGGACTGGGCCACGAGTAGGGCTGGGAATAATTTAATTAGTTAAACAGTTTTTAGGTGTTTAATAATAGTCATGATTTATTTTAACCATTCATCGGTACGGTACCGATTAATGGTTAAAATAAATCATGACTGACTGGCGGTACCACACATGTTTACATGTTTCCTCCTAATCTAATATGTTTTACATTCATATGTGAAAAATGAACTCACAACAATCCTATTTTAGTGAACTTCAATTTAAAACGATGTCACTGTGCTCTCCATTTTGTAGCAGGAAATTTTTGATATATTTGCAAAAAATCATTACTAATGACAGAAATTAATACAATATTTTTCAATTGCTGCATTTGCAATCGAATGTCAACGAGCGGATGAGCCTATTGCGATTTGCGACAACTGGGGGCTAGGAGGATCTGTAGCTTTCTGGTTTGGCAATTGCATTCCTGGCCCACTGACAGTTTTTTGTTTATCCCTTGGCAAGGCACGATACATTATAAATACCTGACATTTTTACTATTTTTGTCCAGTGTTTGTGTTTTTACTATTTTGGTGGTGAGATAACAGGACGTTTTCCAAATTTCATATGTGAAACCTATTCGCCATTTAAGTTCTGCCTTTTTTCAGGTTCTTCGGTGACATAAACCCCAGCGGCACTAAGTCGAAAAAAAGTAAAGGCAAAGACGTTAATGCAAAAGTAATCGGCCTTGCAAGAAGAGTGAATCTATCACAGGCGTTATATGTGCCGTTGTTAGAAATTGATGTTTAAGTAAACTTTGGTGGTGTTACTGCTAGGGTTGCCACTTCCGGATACATTTTTTTTCGAATCGAATTTTTCCGAATCTGATTCCATTAAGCTTTTTTTTATTTTTTTTCATTGCATGCCTATTTTTGCTCAAAGTCACAAAAAAGCTCAAATCTAGAAGAGAAAACTTGAAAATGGAATATGCTAGATAGCAGGGATGACAAAGTTTTTTCAGTGAATAAGCCACACTTATTTCCACCAGGTTAAAAAATATGTGAGTTATCTGTGAGTCTTACAATACTGGGTTATTATTGTGTGTAGCTTTACACATACAATGTACTTGTATCAGTACTGAGGCAATTTGATGAAATTTCTTTCGAAACTGTTTTTTACAAGCCTTAAAGGCATTCAGTGTGTATTTATGCTAAAAATATTAATTGTAATAAAATGATTTTCGTTTCCAGAATCTCGTTTTTTTTATTTTAACTGTAATATTCTGTGTGTTTACTGTTGTGTCGTGCCAGTAGATCTTTGCTACTCTCGTAGTGGTTCGGTCATCGCGAGTGAGAAATTACCATCATGCTAGTATTGTATGGTACTACTGTCGGGTAAGGTAGCTGCCATCGAGATAGTAATTTATTTTACTATTTTAAGGTAAAAAATATTACTACTGGTGGGTAGGTTTACTGCCGTCAAAAAAAGTAGTATTTTTACAGTTTTATAGTATTTTTGCTACCATCAATCTCTGTAAATTTACTGAAAATACTGTTCATAATACTACTGATAGGGCTCGTAATTTTTTTTACATGGGGCCAGTACTTTTGCTGCCATTTTTTTTTAGTAAATTTGGGAAAATTTTTTTAACAGTGTGGTGGATAATAGTAAAGTTGCAAAATTGCGTATGTCTCCAAGTCATAGACACATTTCTGCCCGAGTCACAGTGCGCCGTTATGATGTCATTAACTGCGTTAACTTAAATCCGGCTACCATCAAAAAATTGAACCATGGCAAATTATTGACTCTCAATGGCCATAACAATATCATTAGGAAGTTTTTTTTCGTTTCGGTTATTAGCGTGACGAATTATATTGTAATGGCTATTGCTTACAGCTCCTTGTCATTGACTCACGGACATATATCCTTGCGTTATCATCAATAATCAATTTGTTTACTATACTTTGGTTTAGAGGAAACACAAATATCAACTAAACCGTATCCTGCAAAACATATCTTTTCCTATAAATTCACGAACAGCTATAGATATACGGTTTATAGTAGTCCCTCGAAATTATTTCGTTCATCAAGAGTCATAGGCTATTTCAAAAAGTTTGAAGACTTTTTTATTCACTGAGCATATTGCAAAAACAGCTTTCCAGTGTATAAACTGATTTTTAGAAAATAATAGAATAGTATATTTAATTTTTCGTCGATGTTCAGTCGCCATACGCCATTCAGGTATGCGTTTCAGATTTATTAACAGATAATTAAATATTATTTTACGAGACAGCGATTAGAAAAAATCCAACATCCAACAAAGTTATAAGCTACGAGACAAGACTGAAAACATTCAACACAAATTATCTACAATTTCAAACGTTAAAATGCAGTTTTTCTAAGCCATTATTTTAAATATTTTGAAAATTCTGAAGGTTGTATGAGATTTTGGATTGAACACCAAGATTCCATTATTCACATTCTTGCGTGAATATTTATCGTTTTGTGAATTTTATAAAAATTTTGTGAAAACGGATGTCAATGCCGTTTTACCGAAAAGCATTCCAACAAACTAGGCCTATATTATTGAGGTTTATTACAAATCTGTTTCCCATCAAATCTGGTCAGAAATGCTAACAACATAATTAAATCTTTGTATCCATAACGGGGTTATTTCTAAAATGAAAAAAAAAATTGTGAATCACGCGTTGTTCGTCTGCTTCAAAGAGTTGGTAAGCTGAAGAGGTTTGAAAGAAAGGGTACGATATAGACGTAGATGCGAGATTGACGGGCTACTGAATACTTGTTTACGCGTTTCCATTTGCAACCCATGATTTAGTTTGTCATCATGAATATAAATAGTGCTGGCCTTCTATGCCAAAGCATTTCACGCCAAAAGAATTATAAATTAAAAAGCAGATTTAGAAAGTTAAGGAGGAACTTCCGATTTTTTGAAGTGCTTTCATCAAATTGTTTTCACGACACACCCAAATATTTTGTTCGGGCTGTGTTCTCATGTTCAGACGTTTCTATTTTGCGTACGAATACGATATCCTTCCCAAGGTGTTTTTTATAAAAAATTAGGCCTGCCATATAATTATGTTACCGGTTACAAACTTACGCATTGTCTGCGTAAGGATCACGTATTACGTATGCGTACGTAAAAACGTTACGCCCCAACTACCATGAATTGTACAAAAATGTAGTTCAGAACTGAGCCTTAGTTTTTCTATGATTCACGCATCCTACTGTAATTTTAATGCGGATGAACCCACGCATGAAGTCTTTAAAGTGGTGAAGGGGTAGTGAGAATTCTCTAAAATTTGAAACTTTCGCCGAATCGTCACCTGTTTGGGCTACTTATAAACTAACGCATCTCATTAAATTCATAGACTATTGAGATACTGCATAGCTACTAGTTTGGGGGTTTCTTCTTCAGAAAAAGATAATCAAACGATTTTGACAAGGATCGACTTTGCTGCACGATAATATGGCTATCACGAAAGCAGGTATGGTTTATCAGTTTTATAAACATTGTATTGCAAGTCGTATTTTATTTGAAAAGTTGTTCAACCTAAATTAGCGTTTTATGGTTTACTGAGTGAAATACTATCGCAGTTTAGAAACGACATGACAACATCTACATTTCATAGGATATAAGTAGGCGTTATAATATCATTGTATGAATATGTAATTTTCTTCTTCAAAGTACTTAGTGCAGTCGCGCGTTTGCTATTAATTATCGCTTTTAATTGTCATAATTACTTCAAATTTGAAAACAAGCACTTATAAAAAGGGAAATCGTTTGACATTCTAGTCGGGCTGGTCAGTCAAATAAGTCGGAAAGACGATTAATTCGCCAGAAAATGTCAAATATTCCTAATATGTTAATCAGTAATATATAAACCATATACAGTATAAGCTCCGACGGCATGTCTTTGTTCATACCCAAAACATGTTCAAGTCAAATAATTCCTACTTTTTGATCCCATGATTCATAATCGGCTTCCAGTATATTTGGATCGATTACCTATTACAATACACGTGACATTTCTTCGTTATACATTTAAAATAAATTTATAATTGGCTCAGTATAGGTAGCCAGCGGCTATCGCCATGGAATAGTGCTAAACGACTGTTGCTTTTCCTAAAAAAAACTATGCCCGAAAATGGCTAATTAAGATAAGTTCCAAAATATGTCGTTCGATGTCTGCAGTTTATACGCGAAATTTCATGTTTTCTGATTCTAACACTATCCACTGCCAATAATTTAATGCTCAAATGTTGTAAAATAATAAAGGGTATATGAGTTTTTGTTTTTAAAATACAGGGTGTTGGAAGAGTGTGACACATTGCCGGAAATTAATATTCGTAAATCAATCTTCAGTTACGACTAATGATTTCCGATTTGACGACAAAATGTGTCGCGTTAGTGACATTCGCAAATCAATTTGTTAATATGAGGTTGTATCAATATGCATCTCCTAACTTGACGAACTTCGCAGTCTTCGCGAGTCCTATTTGGCGATTCAATAGAATGATATGGATCTAATACATCCAAAGTGCTAAATATCAAACAAATAAAACAGTTTACGAACTATGTTGAAATCCATGCTAAATGTTATTGTCATATGAGGCTTTATGAACACATGATTCTGTATTTCCCGTAACATATACGATGAAACATGAAATTTGGGATAGCAGTCGAGAAATAATTATTAAAAGTTTAAAAAGTATACATAAAAAGGGCAATTTACGTTTGCGAACAATGACGAAAGTGCCGGCTTTGTGGCTGCTACTTAGCAGAGTGACAAAACGATCATCTCGGCGCTTGTACAAGACTTAAGTGGTCATGGTTAAAGGGATTGTGGGGCTTTTGGTGTCTTCCTCTGTTAAACATTCTTAATTTTGTAACTTTTCAACTATTATCATGTCGAAAGTGGTAAGCGGTGAAGAACGTGATACGACATTTTGTTTAGTGTTGCGGCGGCCCAGCATGGGGTAACCAGAAAATATATTCCAAAATATCAGAGAGCTCGTATAAGATTCCCCGATATTAGCTATTGACCGTTTGTAAATAAATAACCTTCAACTTTTGATGATAGTCTGAAGACCCAATTTTTACTTTTGGACATCTAGATGAACTGTCCTATTTAAATTTTATATTTTATTTTTCAGTATTTTTCATGCTCATATTGGAAATAGTTGCAATACGAAGCTGCAAATCAAACGAAATTCAATGTGAGTATACCATGTTTGTTTTCAACATTTCAGTACGATTTTTGAATTATTATGCAATTTATTGTGCTTTTCGTGGGATGAACCGATTCCCTATTTTGAAACTGAATAACACAAAAGCAAATATGTCACATTATTTAATTATTCTTTGATTTCTCGGTGACTACATGTAGATTATCCTGAAATTTTGTTGTGATTCCGCAGCGAAATATCAAGCTAACTGAAAACTGGGTTTCTATGACTGACAATATTCAATGACACTTATCCGCTCATGGTCTAATAATTATCAGTTAGTAGTCATTTAAGTCGGAATATGCCTTTCGTGTGAAATACATTCTCGGTGATAGATGTTTTTGCTGTACTCTGATTAAATATGAAAAACGGAATGCAATGGAAAAATATTTTAACTATGATTGAATAAACATTCTCAATTGCGGCATTGTGACGTGAGCCCCCGTTTTGGCGCCAGTGAAGGTCATCATTTTAACATGGCTGAAAAGCTTTACAACAGCCAAATTATATTTTATATATGTAGTTTGTTTAAATTGAGGTTCCAAGCTTCCAAGCAAAATTAAGTCGTGCGAATAGAAGGGTTGGTGGCGACCATTGGCGTTGTTATAGCTATTCGTGTATACGATTAACGTGAGACTTGACTTAATACAAGTCAACACTGTCACGAAAACAGCTAGGTGAAGGAGAATTGTACCAAGCGAAAGTCATTAGAATGAAGTTATATTAACAAGCGACAATTGGGTAAAAATATTTGACTTGTGGTGGCCTTCCCATTAACCTAACCTGTGGCTTCTCCGCACGGTTGGAAATTTGGACATTAACGTGAAATATGTCAGTAGTCGATTTGGCTTTTAAATTGTGCCGTGTAAACAACGGCGACACCCATATGAAACTTCTTTTCTCATTCTTTCTTTTTGTCGGTGCATAACTGTGTACATATTTATTTTTTTTTATCATATTTTGAATTTCGTGGGTTTATATGGAAAAAAAATCTTTTTTGAGTTTTGCTTTACCTGGCCATGCTTTTTAATTTAATCACCATTATTTCTTACCTATTTTGTTACGGTATTTTAGTCTAATTTACGGTGTTTAATTCAGTCTCAACTTCAATTAAAACAGTCCCGTGTAGAAAATATTCAACAATCAACATGTTCCATTTTGAAGAAAACATTTTGACGTTTAACGATCTAATTAGCGTATGTTGATAACAAAAAGAATTAGGTTTTGCATGGTGGTGATTTATAGCCAAGCAATCACAAATAGCACAAATTTATAACGCGTGATATTTTTTGAATAGACCAAGTTTTTGAAAACGAAATTCATTAATCAAACAATATTTTGAGTCTCTGTACGTAAAAGGGGAATATTTTTTTAAATTTTTTAATATTTTCTTGTTGTTGTTCATTATTGTCAAACTTTTTAAAACCTTGAAATGTTTGAAAAATCTTTTTTCAAATATTTTATTCATTTAAATTTCTCCAGACTTTGTGGAATACTATTTATACAGTAACATAACTGCCTGAATATGTACATTTTTATCATTTGATAGTTTCAATTCTCAGGCTAATAATTAATGAAACTTTTTAACAGATAACCCATGTTGTTCGTTCCCCTGCCAAAATAACGGAATATGCTACACAAAGGGATTTGATGATTATATTTGCGAATGCACAAGAACAGGATATTATGGAAGGCATTGTGAAACTGGTACGTTTTGATTTCTACCTGGCCATACTTTTTTATTTAACCATCAGTATCTCTTACCTACTTTGTTCTTTACATTTTACTAGCGGAATTTTCAACCAGAATCAAAAAGTTTTTCAAACCATCAAGAGATACTTTACAACATTTGGTCACAAACTACAAGTATTTATGGTATATTGTGAATAAAACGGACTGGCTTAAGAAAGCAGTGATGGGACTTGTTTTGAAAGGTAATTTCAAACTTAATTATCCATTTACCTAACATTATTTTCACCATGATTTATGTAGTTTTCCCATTAACTTACACTGAAATTTAAATACGTTTGACTAAAATTATTGAGCTTCAATCGGAAGCATATGCTTTACCTAATGGAAATGCTAATGCAGGAGCTTGGGTTTCCGATATATGAAATCCGGTTGTGCATTTAATTTAATTTTGAAAACCCGTTCATATCAATCATGACTAACAGTTAGACATTCGATTACCATTACAACCACGAGTGTGTGGTATACCACATTATATTTACCCCTCCATGTTGGGAAATTTGGATATAAAAACCTCTGCCTGACCAGATCGCTTTATATTTAGCACCAGAGTACACATGTTACTCAGGATTCTCTACCATTCCGGGTGGGCGTGTAGTTCGTCTTCTATTTGAATTTTGATTTGTCCTTCGGTTCTGGTTAGCGTTCCTTGTGGATATGATTTGGGCATAAGTTTGTAAGGAATCAGGCCCAAATTAGGAATTTTTGACTTACAAATATGCCAGGTAACAACTTTGCGAGGAATATGAAAAATATATATATATATCTATTATATTCATCACAAGTTAAAGTATATAATTCAAATAAAATAACTATTTTTTGGCCGATCGATCGTTTTTATTTATTCAAATCTTCCTGAATTTTATGAAGCGTTTCCTTGTTTGTTTTGCGCGAACAAGAAGGAACCGCAGCATTTGGCTGGGAGGCGGACGGCCGACTAAAGGATTCGCATATCTAAAATATATTGCTATGTTATACGGCATATCCAAAAACATTTAATTTTATCTACGTGCGAGTACGTTAGTTTTAGCTATACCAATAAAAAATTTTTTGTAAAAAATTCCGAATATAAATTTCAGAATAAAAATATTCGATTCAAATGTATTTATAATAAACAATTATGTCTTCTATACCTTTGAGTTAACTTGCAAAATGCCATTTCGAGTGATAAATCCATAGCATCAGCTGCTATGCAAATTGTAATTTCACATATATAGGAAAAATAGAACAATTCGCTGATTCTTTCAGCACTAAAAATCGTAGTAAAACTTGATAAGAATCGATGGATTCAATATAAAACTATATATACAGCCAAAGCGTAAAATATTTTGCCAAGCGTGAAATTGTTGCGGTATATTTTAGTCTGATTTGCGGTGTTTAATTCAATCTCAGCTTCAACGAAAACAATCCCGTGTAGAAAACATTCAACAATAAACTTGTTCGAAGAAAACATTTCGCCATTTAACGATATGAATCAGCAGGCTGGTTGGTGATTTATAGCCAAGCAACCACAAATAGCACAAATTTATAACGCGTGATATTTTGTAGAAATGGTATAGAAACCAAATAAATCAGTAATCAATGATCGAATTAAACACTGTAAATACTGTTCATAAAATTTTACTTTTTACATCGAATTTACATGCCCCAGGGCCGGTTGGGCAAATTTTTCGGCCACTGATCCAAAAACCTTACTCAGCCGTGATTTAGACCGTGTCATTCTGTTTATTATTTATAATTAGTTTCTAACTTTGTGTTCTCTTGCTATATTTCAGTGCGTATGTCCATTGTTGATGAACCAACGGCCTACATCGGTTGGGATGATTATACAACATGGGAAACATACACCAACAAATCGGTTTATGCACGAACCCTGCATCCTGTCCCAAAAAACTGCCCGACTCCAATGGGTGTAAAGGGTAAGTGGCCGTACCGAGCTTTCGGGTAGCTCTTGCTTCTTTCTGTATATTCAAATATTTCCAACAAAAAGTATGAATCTTGTCTGTTTCATGTACCTGTATCATCACTACTGTGCCATGATATAAATTTCATATCTATGCTAAGCAATACAGCAAGATTGCATAACATTTTTATTTTGCAGGGAAAAAAGAACTTCCTAACCCAGAACTCCTTGCAAAGAAGTTTTTATTGCGACGAAAATTCCTTCCGTGTCCAAGAAATACAAATGTATTATTTCCGTTTTTTGCTCAACATTTCAATCATCAATATTTTAAAACGGATTTTAGTAAAGGAATCCCTTTTCAATGGGGAAGTCATTACGTAAGTTTATCTTAATTATACGTTTTGGACGTCGCTAAAATGTAAACAACCAACCAAATGCTACCAGATTGAAAGACGTCTCAATACCAATGAGTTTATGCATTTGACAATTACTATTACAAAGCTTTCAAAGATACAAAATTTGTTTTTGACGATACTGATCTAAATGGAATTTATGTTGCTCAGTCATGATAGATCCTATAAAACAAGGCAAATAGTTCCAAAACGTATAGCAAGGCTACGACATATGAACAAATGAGTAAATGGGTTCATGCAATCGCTGGCGCTGAAAATATCGAAACCTTTGGAGGCTCAAGCAATAATACCTAATGCAACATTTACCGATAGAACTTAGGCCTGTATCACATACAATTTTTGTTATCTGATTAATCGTTAAATCATACTAAGTCCTAATTAAAGCCTTGTGGCTTATTATTTATAGTCACCGTGCGTTGTTATAAAATACATAGCTTTCCTCTGCTTTATCACGTCTACCTAACAAGCGTATGACATTTTTTTTAATAATTTAGGTCGATATATCCCACATTTATGGTGATACCGATCAGCGGCAACATGCATTGCGATCCCACCAAGATGGTAAAATGAAAGTCTCTATCTTCAACGGAGAAGCGTTTCCTCCCCGACTTGAAGATACTGAGGGTTTAAGAATGGCTGGATCACAGTTTATTAAAAAAGAACATCGTTTGGCATTTGGTCATAAAGGGTTCGCAGCGATGCCAACTTTTCTACTGTATTCAACACTGTGGATAAGGTGAGTTTGAGTGATTTTGTTTATCTCGATATTTGACGTGGTTAGGCAGCGTGCTAGCGTTTCCAGGTTTCGCAAAATAGTGAAATATTATAAACTCAGCTTCGCTCAAGTCAATTTAGTGGTGGGAATCTACTCGACTCCGTTGATGAAAGTAAGCTGACCCGCGTTAAAATTTGTACAGTGACTCAAGTGGTTTGTTTATCAGTACCATCAGGAAACAGCGTTTTGCATCACTGTGACACGCGAAAGTATTATGACTCGACTCAATTTGATGATTCGGAAAACCATATCTTGGTGGCAACCCCAACATAGAAAATCAATCGGGTATATTCGGCTAAGTTATCTATTATTAAAATGTTATTTTTCGTTTGTTATTATGTTATTCAGAGAGCATAATCGAGTGTGTGACATACTCAAAGTTGAACACCCAGAGTGGGACGATGAAAGACTCTTTCAAACAACAAGACTAATCATTACAGGTATACCCAAGTCTAATAATTACCGCTAGTTTTCAATGGCTGTTTTATAAGACATTAAATGTTATGAATTTACACAGCAAGTAGCATGACGTACTCCTGCACTCATACGACAAAATTATCCTCCAATCACACAAAGGCTCTCACAGTGCTCTATGATCACTGTTAAAATAGTTTGTGATAATATTTTTTGTGGGAATTTTGATTGAATCGTCACGGAACTGTTTTATCTGGTAATCAATCACTTTTAATGCCAATGTTTCACGAATATTCATTATTCCAATTTCTAAATATATACTCAAGTGAAGTCGACATCAAAATAGCTGGATATTAATACTTGAAACTCCACGTGACTTAGTTCGGGATTGCTGGTCACTGATGTATTTAAGATAATACTATTTATCATTTTCAACGTTATAAACATCTTACACAAAATGTAAAGTAAAATGTGTATTTCATGCTTTACATTTTTCGATTACCAGGAGAAACAATAAAAATTATTATTGAAGACTACGTTCAACACTTGAGTGGATTTCATTTTCAACTATTGTATGATCCAGATATTTTAATGAACGAAGGAATGTCTCATCATAATCAAATCCACATTGAATTCCATAGTTTATACCACTGGCATGCACTGATGCCAGACAATGTTGTGTAAGTGAGATGTATTTTAACTGGAATTGGAATTTTTTCTGAATGTCATTCCAAAATGTTCCTCATTGTATACATTGACATAATTTTACATAAAAGGTTTAGTAGCTTCGTACTACACGTATAGGTGTCAATATTAACATCACAGCAATAGCCGTTTTTATTGAAATTTTGAGAAACGCATATGCGCAGTGTTGTACATTGATAATGACATGTTAGTGTTAAGCCACTATAACAATTCGTACTTGACATATTACTACAGTATACTCTCCAAATCAGGTTTAATCATTATGTGTGAAAAGTTACTTCCTCGGTCTGTAGTGTTTTCACTCGATGTTCCTAACAACAATAGCAAGAGCTATATGTTCAGATGCGCCACAGTCAGTGAATCTTGTCAAGTGCTCCGTTTTAGATTGAGATCCAGGTAAACTAAGTAAGGTATTCTTGATAGTTACAATTGTTTTTTATGCAGTTTGGAAGACAAATCCTACAAAATCAAAGAACTACTGTTCAATCCGGAACCAATAATTGACGCTGGTTTACAGAGGACATTCCAAGATTTAAACACTCAATTTGCTGGACAGGTAAATAAAAATATTCTGCCCTAATGTCGCCTGTAGCAGACTATAGTAGCTTCGTTCGAAAAGTTAGGAAATTGATTGTTGCTTGGAACACAGATCCCTAATTTTTCTCATCATTCTTTCTGATTTATCCCAATTTCCCATTATACCTTTCGCAATGCTATTGGCGCACTATTGCATAAAAAGGATTGTCAACGAATAAACTATTTTTATCTATATGAATAAATATGCCGAAAAATTATATATAACGAACATCTTTAAACGTATCCTATAACTTATAGAGCAAGGACAAGCAATGGTTTATTGCAATGAGCCAAAGCAAAAAATTATGCCGACTCTAAGAGCCGGACCATCGAACGCCTCATTATTTCTTAGCAGCTAAAAGTTGAGCTAGCACAACTTTACTCGCGGATTGTGTCTTACACAGCGTCAGTTTTAGAATGAAATGCTCACAGCAGTATAAGCGATACTGAAAGGGAGATTTCTTTTTATATGCATCATTTTTCAGAGTGGTGTAATGCCCATATTTATATTTTTAGCTTGTGTAAAAAAATTGGAAATCTGTGATAGGCTCCTTTGTGATCAACAATTACCTATAATGTTCTTCTACTCTGAAATTTAACGAGAGATCGTCCATTCGGCGAGTCACTGTAAAATGAGAAAGATACATCAATCTTTCATCTGCTGAGACACTTTTCGATGAATGCAAAGTATTTTATTGTATACAATAGTATCGCTTGCTTTGACAAATTACGCTAACCACATTTTGTAACCACAGTATTCTAGAGTCTAGACTCCACGGAGTGTTGAACTTCCGCCATTCATTGTGACCATTCCTTGTTTTTTGGTAGACATTTTAATTTTCTCCCAACACAGGACAATTACAACATAGTACCAACCAATACAGACAAGTTTTATGTTATTGAACCCTTATCAGACGAATTTTCACTGCAGTGTGAGGTTATCAAGCAACACAACGTTGAAAACACCAATGGTGCCGTAACAATTAAAAACACGCCTGAGATACCAGACCTCTTACGGGTCATGAAAATAGGTTCCGCGTGCCGGATTGTGGCGTATGCCGCACCCCTGTTTTGTAGAACGTAGAGAATGTACTTATTTCTTTGATGCAATCCGCTAGAGGGCATCCTGCTACCGATCAAACCCGGTTTTCACTGAGTTTATTTTTTTTTTATATGTTTCTGAATATTGCTCATTTCTCATGAAAAACATAAATCGTCAAATTAGACCAACTGAAAAACCAAATCAGAATACAGCTAAATTTGTCATTATTTAACGTTTCAAAATTGTTTTATTTAGGTGGCAGGAGGAAAAAATCAGGGATCAGGAACGTTAGCGGTTGCAGTACAGGCTATAAAAGATGGACGAAGTATGAGACTACAATCCTTCAATAATTATCGGAAAAAAATTGGATTGAAGCCGTACACAACATTCGAAGATTTTACAGGCAAGAACATCAAGTGTTATTAAATAGTTAAGAAATAAACAATCCATCACTAAAATTGTATTTATCCCTAATAATTCTTATTCTCCGAATATGTGTTAATTTGTTTTGTCCACATACATCCATGTCTCACAAGAATAGACACGAACGTGATGAAGCCATGCCTAGTTTAGGCATCGCTCGTATTAATTATTTATTCTCTGATCAAGAAACATAGACGCATGGTTCATTGTTAACAAATTCAATTCTTGCGCAGGCGAAAAAGAAATGGCGGCGGAATTAAAAGAACTCTATGGTGATATTGATGCATTGGAATTATATCTCGGCCTAATGACGGAGAAAAGAAGAAAAAAGCAACTTTTTGGCGAAACATTGACAGAAATGGGATCACCGTATTCTCTTAAAGGTAAGTGCTTGAAATTTGATAAAAATAAGTTGTTGCGTGAAAGCAAGTTTAACTTAATCCAACCTTTCGAACTGTATGCAAACTTCTTGTCTATTCGGTCACCGATGCCATCCTCGGTGTCGTTTTTTGTTCTCGACTAGCATACATAAATAATGCCTATATGATATTTTGAACTTTATATATTTCAGGTCTTTACGGTAGTCCACTTGGATCTCCAGGATGGTGGAAACCGGTGACGTTCGGGGGTGATGTAGGATTCAATATAGTTAAAACAGCAAGTCTACAGAAACTCATTTGCGATAATGTTGAGGGCTGTCCGACAGTAGCGTTTAGAGTCCCTAGTAACCACAGTTACGAAGAGTCAGACATGGCGGCGGTACCAGACGACAATACTTCAGACACAATGATGGCTCTGGCAAGAGGAAAAGAACCTCCAAATAATTCCCAAGAAAGTTCGAACATTAACAAGTGTGATAATCTCAAAAATGGCAATTGTGATTCATCTAAATCAAAAATGTATTCAGCTTCCCAGAACAAAAACTTGGAGTTGTAACTCAAGAAAATTTATCACATATATATATTGTTATTTTCCATAAATTTTTTTTTAAGTACTGTGCATAGGTTTTCATATACATTTGCATATCTACAGCTTACTAAATGCACACGCCTCACGCTTGTAAGAATGTAAATTGAAGCTCTTATTATATTTTGTATTATTCAGTTTAATTAACATTTTATTTAAACTACATACAAATACAAGATAATGCCGTATATTATCGTGTAATATTGACATTGCAGCAAAAGCGATTCAGCTGTTCCTGCTACTATAACTGCTGGAAAAACTCGCTGTGTTATTAAGTCAAACGATGTTCAAATATATGGGGATACAAATGTCGTGAATCGGTATCAGTGAGGTCTTAGCTGAGCACCGAATTTACTGAACAAGATCGACAGTGTTCTAATACGTCGTAAAATGTGTTCTTATGAATTGAACAAAAACAAAAAAATATAGGGCTCTGTGGATTCCCCGTGAATTTGAAATTGCTCGGCACTATAGTTACAGCGAAAAGCTGTAAAGCGGCGGGAAAATTGAGGACAAGCCAAAAATAAAAAAAATATGTTATCAATATGATACAATGCAACGAGACAAAATTGACCTTCCAAATCTTTAAACGGCTAGCCTGGTTTCATAACCAACCATTTAGTACTCGGTCTTTTATTGTTGCTACTAAACATAATTGATCATTATTTCTTTATTGAGCATTATTCTGCCCATTGAGTGACTCACAACGAACATGGCCATAGTCAACAACCATAGGATGGGAAACTGAGGAAATCGAATGTTGTTTTGGTATTGAGTTGAAGTGAAGTTAAAACCTCCACGGCTTGGGCAATTGACTAAAAGTTCCGGTGTGGTTTGATCGTGGTTCGTTCTCAACTTCTTAATAATATCTTAATTAGACGCCACTGTGGCCTAAAACTACAGAAAGAAGAAAATTATAGCCTCTTTATAATAACCAAAAGTTAATTGAAACTCGAAATATGACGCAATTTATCTTGGCCCATGCTTTAAAATGGATTTTCAAACGCTGTGTGCACATACAGTCGAATTATAATTTTAATATAAACAGTCAATTCGTGTACTACAAATTCTCACGCAACACCTCCCATCACAGCACGTGAATAATTGGAGCACAAAAAAGATTTTATTGCCTTTTTTTCTTAACTTGGAGTAAAATCAGTGCAATTATATAGCGTGATTTAAATCGGTATGGTCGCTTCATCATTAAATTAAGCTGGATTATAAGTCGTTGCGATCTATTACAGGTGTCTAGTATTGCTCAAAATTTTTTTTGGACTTTATTCTTGCGGGTACGGAACATTGTGTGCAGTTCATATATCCGCTATAAAATCAATCAAAGTTGTCAGTATAAGCTTTTATCTATACAATGTTTTTGTGACTTGGTGGAGCAAATGAACCAAAATTGTACACAGTTCTGAACAGTTATAAAAATATTCCAGATCGTAGAATAGTGAGTTGTACTTTAGTTTTATTGCCAATGACTTGTTTATGTGTGTTATCAAATCGACACAAATATCACTGGACAATAAGCAAACGAATAATATCGTTCACGCCTCGCACGAATTTTACAGACAGTCGGATGACATGAATGATTTCCTCATTTTCCGTACTATAGAAACTTGGCGATGTTCGTCAAGTATTTCTCTTTTCATTTGAAAGACAGGAAATTTCAAACCGAGAATTTTTCTCATACAGACGGTCGATCGCCCTATTATTAGTAGGTTTGTGAACAGTTCAGTAAAGATAATGAAATCGACCGTACCCAAACATACTGCTAAATTTAACATGAGTTTATACCTCGTTATAGCTCGGGTAGAAGTTTATAAATATTGAACGTATTCACAAATATTTTGAAAAGCGCGATCAAATTATTTTAGAATCGCAGTTTGAAGATCACGAGGGATGGTCATGCTCATTTCATTGTTTTTCTCAATTTAGCCTGTAAAGCTGGATTTTGAAGTTTTTTTCAACATAGAAAAGTTATTTATTCTTGAGTGGTTTCTCGAAAGGAGCCATGTTCGGGCTGAATGTATGATATGATAGTATCCATTAGTAGAAGACCTAATATCATTCTTATATAGGGCTCAAAGCAAGGTTAAAAGTCAACGTGTAATAAGTGAAAATAGCAGCTGTAACAAGGTCGCACGCAATTTCACGAACTTAATACAATAAAGTATAAGTTTGTCGGTAAATGGAGATAATATCCTGTAAAGGTGCATAAAGAAATTTATGCAAATTTGAAAATGATTGCAGCAAAAATTATGAATTCAATTAAGTTGGATTAATTCGCCATCCCTTCAAATCTTGTATGCCTCTCGAAGCAATAAAATAGAACAATGAAAAACAAAATTAGGCTGCGCTGAGGTTACAGGATGCCAACTCGATCGATGTTAAAGCAATTTTATTTCTCGATAAACACGACAATGTGACCAAAGGGTCGTAAATATCCGTCTTTTCGCCTTCAACAAATATATGAATTGTTGGCTCAGCTTCAGTTTAATTTGCACTCCCATAAGGTTCGGTATTTCCTAGACGATAGTTTGTGACTCTGTGACGCAGATGGCTTTATTTAATAAAGGAATGTTATGTCTCGATTTTACGAAAGAAATATAATTATACGATACCAATGAGAAATTGACATTTAAATTTAATTATATGGAAAGAAAATTGAGGGAAAATCATTGATATGTGCACACGTTAAAAGGCTTTTATATTGTGTTTTGGAATAGCAGTAATTTGTAATCAGTTTGACAACTAATATCAATTTTTGTACTTGATGAGAACAATAATGTTCTCTGATAGTCAAAATTTACTATTTATTGAAATCTGTTTCGTCTTCTTGATAATTAGTGGTTTACTTGTGGCGTGCGGATTTTAAAAACCATAATAGCGTAGCAAGGTTCGTTGGCACAGCTATGTTTCGTTAGATATTAGTATATAATGGGTGAAGTTTCGCTACTGTCAGGTTAAATAAGTTATAAATTATACTTTGCTCGCGAAGTTGTTGTTAATTTGTCACATTATCTCGGATCCGGTGTTGAAAATAGAGATCACTAAAACGTATTGGACTTCCGGTTTTGCTATAATTTCATATTTCTGAATGCGTAACGTTCATCAAATTTATTATACACGGTACGAGTGAGTAGGGAGTACCTTTAAACCTATTAAGAGGAAGGATAATATCGACAAATATATTGTTCCAAAAGCATAAAATCATTTTAAGCAAATACTTGAAACGCACCCAATATCTTCCCTCGTCATTATTATCTGACGTCTAACGTAAGATGGATATATCATCAGTTTCGTAATCAATGAAAGATTGTACCTATTCTATCTAATTAATCGTTAAATTCAAATTCTAAATAATGTAATATTATATACGAATCAAGTCAGCACGCACGGACGCAATCTTGCTTTTAATCGTAATAATTTATGGGAAAAGCAGAAGAAATATCATAACCGTTTATCTATCAGTACTGCATTATTGTAAATATCTGCCGTACTTCCTTAAATTAGGGTTGCTCAATCCATTGTTATAACTGAATTCGAATTGTTTATCAAAGTTCGATACCGAAAAAATTAATGTTACATTATTACGACTATTAACGGTATTCGATTTTATTGTGAGTTCCACAATTGTATTCCAATGGTCATACAGGCGTTTGTACATACGAATACTCACAGCGTGAACATTATAATACGACAGGTTCTGTTATCAAATGTTCAAACTTGATGTTTGGATTGTTGGTAAAATAATGGTCTGGCTATAGGCTACTAAAATATGTTATTCTCGTCGCTAGCTAGTTAGCTAAACGAATTGACGACTATGAAATTCTTCGTAATTTTATTACTTGGTGGTTTCGCTCGTTCTACGGTTACATATTATTACAAAATATGAGCGTTTTTTATTTTAAATTTGGTATAAACGAAATTTCGTTCCATGGTATATAGTATTCTATCGGGCAGCCGAGCCAATGACGAAAATACAAATATATTCACTTCCTGAGTTCCAAGGACTCAACCAGTCATACAACAAACAATAATATCGATCATATTTATATCAAAATAAGAATGCTGAGTGACGTAGGCAATAAAATGAGATCGTCAAATTATTATCGATGGGTTTCTAATAAGATATATTATCAATATTGTGCTGTGATGATATATTAGTATCTGAGAAATTATAAGTTGATGAGGTAAAGCGTCTGATATGAGAAGTAATATCACCAATTAATCTTGGCGAGTTGATTAAATTTATGATTTTAAAATAAATTTCAATTGAAACTGGATATTAAGGTTTTATATTCTTTGAAGCGAGTTTGAGGATATTGCAAAAGGGTTTTATATTTATATCGAGAGCATCTTAAAGTATGAGCCGGGTCAAACAAGAGGATATACCAAACTAACAACGCCAACAAGACGTGATAAATTAGATAGGCTGTGTCGAAAGCTGAAATTCTGTATAATCAAAGCTGATTTTTTTGAAGTGCAAATGTTTAACATCTCGGAGAAAGGGTAAAATCAAAATAGCATGCGTATGGCATTACGCACCACAGTTCAAAGTTTAACAGGACTTGTAATCTTCGAACTACGTATTTCATTGGGTATTTGGTCTCATTCGTCAGAGTTCTCAGGATACTTTTAGTTCTGCGGAATAGTGACGTATTCAAAATTATGAATTGTGGTTATCCGGCGCCGGTTGTTGTTTAACATTATATAGAGAATCACTGTTTAGAGGTATTTACTTTTACCTGGCACAACTTGTGGTTTGTACTTACAGGCTGTAAATTGAAGTATGATTTCAAATATGATTTGACCTGATGAGTATTTCTTTTAGGGCAGCATTACAGTTACAGTAAAAGGCCAGATAGTGATAAAGAGTTCTCGGAATTACACGACGGTCGAGTATGTATGACTGAATATGTTCGCACTTGATAATGTATTAACTCATATATAGGGCGTCCAAAAGATAGGGTAGCAGTTATTGAATTAATTAATTATTAATAACTTTTACCCTACTTTTGTTCCACCCTGATGTGTATTTGATTGGCGAGTAAAATATAACCTTTTTTGGGGGAATTTCAAATACAAATTATACAAAGTTCGCTTAGCTTCAACGGAAATAATTTTAAAGACATATTTTCCAACCGAGAAATTAATTTTAATTTAGACCCTCATTTATTAAATT